TCCGCAATGGCCGTCGTCGTCGAGCCGTCCGTGGTGGTGATCGTCACTTCCTGCTTGCCGTCGATCACTGGGCCGTCTGTTGTCACGGTAGCGGGGCCAGTAGGTGTGTTCACCGTTATGGTTTGTTGTTCATTGTTCTCGGTATTTGGAATATTGTTTTCAGGTACAACAACTGTCGTCGTCTGGCCTCCAGGTGACGGGATATCCAGCTTTTCCCCTCCCGTCGCGGTTTGCTCAACCTGGACAGTCGTCGTCACGACGCTACCTCCAGTCTCGATTTCCACCTTCTGCTGGCCGTCCACAGCTGAGCCAACCAGCGTAATGGTTTGTTCACCACCTCCCGGTGTAGAAACCTCAATCGGCGCGCTCGTCGAAGCCTCCGTCGCCGCTGGAGGAGCTGGAATTTCAGGAACCACAGGAGCAGGAGGGACCGGCGCCTTGGTGTCCGGGAACATGTCCATGTATTTCTGAGGGATCTCGATCGGAGTCTCAAAGCAGTACACTTCCAGCATGTAATACAGCGAGTTGATGGTCTTGCGGTCGAACGTCAACGTCCTCTTCTTGGTCTATAACCACATCAAAATGAGGTTAAATAACTAAGTACGACATACTTCGAAGCACTCAACAACTTACCGGAACCATGGCCTTCTTGACACAAGCCGAATCGCTCGCGATCTTGTCGTCCAGCTGGTTATTCAAGTCCTGCTTGACGATATCAGGAAGGTCGGAATTCTCGATATTCTCTCTGTCCTTGTCCCAAACCTCGCGTAGATCCTTCATATACTCTCCATAGGCCACAACGCCGTCTCCGTCTTCGTCCAGTTCGTCGAAACTGGGGAAGTACGGGTCGCCCATGGTCTCCACAAAGTCTGGAACCACCAAATTCGCCGCCATTTGCTGCGTCGCCATCGTGTTCGACTGCGTGGACTGCAACGTGGCAAAACCCACACCCGCCGTCGCACCGACCAACAGCATGGCCGCTCCAGCTACGGCCAGACGCTTCTTTTGCCGGCGCTTGGAGTTGGGTCGGTCTGGAGAGGCCACCCGGCGAATGAAGTTGGTCTCTTCATTCTCGCTCCCATAGTTTCTAGGAGACTTCATGGTGTTAGCACCTCGTACACTCCACTAGTCCTTGACTTGATATGAGAGTCAAAGCGTGTTCCTTTGTCCGAGGCAAATCGAGAAGTGACTGTAGTAAGAGATCCATGACCTCATAGAGATCCTATTGCGAACAGTCTCTGCTGGGGCGCTCTGGGCCGTAGATTGACGATCTTGATTGCCAAAAACTATCATCGAGACCCAAAGATATGGACTTGCATGTGTGCTGTATGAACCGTCACCTCGACCACTAGGATCTTGCATTGAGACCGCACATTTCGACTGTCAACCTCAGAGGGTCGTTCGCTTACTATTATAATAGACCGTAGATTTTTTTTGAAAGTCTGTTTTTACCAAATGGTTAGTACAGAACGGTATCAAGTTCTTGAATAACTTCAACGTTACCTATGGTGGCTGCTACTTTCAACGCTGTAGATCTGTAGGGCGCACCTCCATATTTACCAGCAAGCTGATCCTTGTTTGCTGGTGTTGCATCTCCATATCTCGAACGAAGCGAGGTGAGAGGCTATGCCACTGATAGTATGGCTGGTAGCAGAGCAGTTGTGGAAGATACCAGTTTTTAGGTAAATGCCTGCTCAGTTAAGCCATCTGATTGGCTGCATGATCTGCAAAAAAAAAAACTGCAAAGTGAATTCTAGCTGTTGGCCTTCCGAAAAACTGAATGACCTGTTTGTCTAGGCCAATGCAGTTGTGGGGCATGTGCTAAGTGATCTCGTAACAGCCCAATGTTGGTACGGATGCTTGGTTTCAACTTGCGTTGGTTCGAGAGGGCGCCTGCACTTGACGTAGTAGAAACTGGTACCGTCATCTCCCATGGGATACGAACGGGTTCCACCACTAGATGTCGAGAGAATCGTGTCATGCTAGTGTTTACATTGAATGAAGGTGCTTCTCGCTTTACCCGAGTAGCGACGATTTCATCCATCAAGACTTTTTGTCGGTCTTGAGCCAGCACAACTGGTTTCAATGGAGAACGTTCCCCCATGAACCGATTTCGTAGTTCACTGAAGGTTCTACAGCTCCCGGTTGTCGATTTGGAATTATTAGTCACTTCATTATTGTTGCTGCTTTTTGATGAGCTTTCCATTGTAACCGGCCACGGAGTTGACGGCAGGAGGATCAGTTCGTCGTCTTCGAAGTCGTACAACGATTCGGAATCGGATTCCTCGGATCGCGTCGTCATCACGACTCCTGTTCTTGGACGGGAACGAGCCGTACTACGGGCGTGCTGCTGCATCGAACGCAATTGAGCTTGACGAGATGCTGGAGATTTTGGCTTATTGCGCTGTCCTGAACTGCTGTGTACGTCACCATGTCCGTCATCCTCCTCTGGTGGACGAACGAGGTCCTCGACGGAACGGTGCCGCCATTTCTTTGCTAAATACACGACGCTTCGTTTATCTTCGTTGATCACGCTGGCACTGGCGCCATGCTCTAGCAGTACCTGTGTGGCTACTTCGTTCCCATTCATGGCCGCAAAATGCATGGGCGTGTTGAGTTTCATCGACTTGGCGTTCACATCGGCTCCATTCGTGATGATATCTCGGAGAAGCTGTCGATCTCGACAGAAAGCGGACAGGTAATGCAATGGACTATGCGCTTGTTTATTCTGGTGGGCAGGGTTTGCTCCGGCGTTCAGGAGCAAGCGGACAATATTTAGTTGCCCACCAAGACATGCTTGTAACAAGGGTGTTTGGCCATCAGCGTCGACTGCATCTATCATTGCGCCTGCTGCTAGCAGCTCTTTGATCACTTCTATCTCTTCCGTTATGACAGCCAAGTGAAGCGCAGTCCACCCACCGTCTTTGGTAGCGGCGTTGACTTGAACCTTTCCACTTCGAATCAACGCCATCGTAACCTGACGGAAGTTCTTGATGATTGCTGTGTGTAAACAGCTCTGTCCGTTCTCTTCGTCCACACTGCTAAACGTAGCGTCCAATTGATCAGCAGGGGTATGCAGCAAGAAGACCGTAACCAGTTTCTCAATATCGAACGTCTGTCGGAGAGATAGATGGAGTGCGTTGGAACCTCCACGGTCACGCAGGCCTGCTTTCGCACCGGCCAGTTTCAACAATATTTCCACACACGTGATATGTCCACGTAGTGCAGCAAGATGCAAAGCCGTTCGCTTCTCGTCCGGAGTCACAAGATCCACCAGTTTCTTCAGATCATCTCGTATCGAACTTGTTAATAACTCTATTAGTATACCGTCACTACCGTTTGTGGCTGCAAGGTGCAACAGCGAGTGTCCGTTGCTATCAAGGCTTAGCAGAATCCCTTCCGTCTCTTTCGTCAACAACGTCACGAGATATTTAAACAACTCTGTCAATCGAAACTCTGCCATTACATGGAAGACACTCTAGACAAACAGAAGAGTATTAGTCACGCAGTTCATAACATTATCTTCGAAGCAAGCCCTACCTTCTTGAAGCTGTCTTTCGTGGTCAAATCGGCTCCCAACGTTAGTAAAAGCTTGACCGACTGAATGTCGTTGGTCTTGCACGCCCGATGCAATGGCGGCAGACCTGCCTTGTTAGTACTGACAAAGTACGCGCTCTTGGCGTCTTCCGAGGCAGCCGACAGAGCGACATCGAGGAACTCGAGCAGTCCCAGTTGAATGGCCATGTTCCACTTGTCCGTGTCGGATTTGAGTTGCGTCAACATGGCGGTCTCCTGCCTCAATTTCTGTTGCCTGGCTACTTCACTGCGACTCTGTTCGGTCTGTAATTGGGTAGTGTAGTGATCTTCCCACATCATCTGCCGAGTCTCGTGTGCTTCGCGTTTGCCATTCCGAAGCACTTCGAGACTTTCGGAACAGTCCGAAATCGCCGAAGTGTTGAAATCTTCTGCCCGATGCACAAACTCCCGTTGATACGTAAGCGCAGCATCCACTTGTGCCTTGGGAATCTGGCCGCGTTGTCGCCGTCGCGGAGCCTCGTCCATCAAACGCAGTCGCTCCTCCAGCGACGCCATGATTAATTGTTGAAGATAACTATTTTAGTTTGTTTTTTTAAAAAAATAATAATGGCTACATTTAGTTTGACCTCTAGTAACTAATACCACGTTTTGCAGTATTTTCCGAGGTATTGGAAAGCGACAAAGCAGCGAAGAAGTGACCAGGCGCATCGACCATGTTCGACTACTTTGCGCGCCAGTACCGCTGGTACAAGCTCGAGTTCGGCCTCACCATGCTCAGTTGGTGGGAGGTGGCCATCTTCAGTGCGTTCTCCCGTCTTCATCCGTTCAGTATTGGTCACAATAGCCCCACTCTAACTTGAGTCATTACATGATAATTCTTTAACAGACTGCTTCCTGCTGCTCGTGACGAGCGTGACCGGCTACTACATCTACAGCGTCGGCAGCCACATCGCGGGTTTCCTCCAGAACTAGAAGGATCAATAAAGGGAGGTCTCGGAGATTTAGGGAGAAGAGGGCCTTCCTCCAGTCGGGGACAGCAGATAAGGGAGAGTAAATGCAATTGTAACGTCGGTGCAAGTATTTTTGCCTTAAAGTTTCGCGTTGGTTTCATAGGCGACGTCCACTGATGCGCTTATAATTAGGGGGACTTAAGAATTTGTGGAAAGGAAGAGCAGGCCCGAAGGAGAAGAGGATGGAGGACTTTGACTGTGACGACTTTGAGAGTGCGTTGTACTGCTGGCTTGTTAGACTAGGAATGTGGACTGACATGTTGTGTCTTGTGTTGTTAAGAGACGCTCAAGGTGATTGTGGTGGGGAACGGGAATGTGGGCAAGACGAGCATGACGACGCGCTATGCCAAGGGCAGATACACGGGCATGTACAAAAAGACAATTGGGGTGGATTTTATGGAGAAGACGGTGGAGCTGCGTGATCTAGGCGAGACAATTAACCTCATGATCTGGGATACTGCCGGTCAAGAAGAGTTCGATACACTTACGAGTAGATACTACAAAGGTGAGTAATGGTCAGAAATATCTTAGAAATAATGTGTTAACGTGGGTGTTCTAGGCGCGGGTGCTGTTATCTACGTGTTTTCGACCGTGGATCGAGCCTCTTTCGATGATCTGCCCAAGTGGAAGCGCAAAGTGGAGGAGGAATGTGGTAAAATCTGCAGTGTTTTGGTACAGAACAAAATTGACTTGGAGGACGACGCTGCTATGACTCGTGACGAAGTCGAGGACATGGCCGACTACTTAAACATGCGACTTTATCGCTCCTGTGTTCAAGACAACATCAACGTAGGCGAAGGTTCGTGATGCTTAAAAAAAATACCTCATTTTGTCGAAAAATAACTAACAGATATGTTATGCTGCTCAGTGTTTCGCTACCTCTGTCGCAAGTTCCTCAAGAGCGGCGATGACGGCGACGAAACAGTTCATGCTGTCACTGACATCTCGACGCTGAGCCAAACAGCGAAGCCTAAGACCATGCCACGTCACAATTCACCGGAGCCCAGAACGAAGCGCGAGATTTCCGACATTTCCGACGTCGATTCCGATCGCACGGCAACGGCAGCTCCATCGCCTACAACCCAGTCACACTTGATCAAAGCGTTTCCCCCCTCCCCACCAACAGTAGCTGATCGAGAATACGCGAGTGACAGCGGAGAGGAAGAACCCGATTCTCCGAGAAGAGGCCGCAAAAACGATGATGATCAAGACTACAAAAAGATTGACAGTCGGAGAGATTCTGGTTCGGAAGCTGACGTTGCAGAGGAATCTCCACGCCACGCTCCGTCAAAACGCGATAAAGAGTGCGAGGAAGACGACGAGGAAGACGAGAGTGTGGATTCTTCTGGGATGCCCAAGTTGAAACCAAGCAAAAGACGTACAAACGGCAAGAAAACGTATCCGCCGCCAGACTGTGTCATTTCTTAAGTATGGCGCCATGGTAAACAACATAAAAAAATATGAACTCGATTTCGATCTTAGTGTTTTCATGTTGACTGCACGGCTCCTTCCTTCGAGAGGTGTGCTTAAATGATTCCTTGGGCATATCGTACTTCCTTGCTAAGTTAAACTGTCTGCATGGCTTAATAGTGCTCGCCGTGAATTCTCGAGCGCGACAACGAGTACAGATCCGAAAGGAATCCGTCCTTGTCTGCGTGGCTGGTGCGTCCGTAACGCGGGGCTCGTCGGCTTTGAGGACGGCCGCCGTCGTCCGAGTACATACTGAGGTCGAGATTGTCGAACTCGGCCACGGGTGCAGCCTCCACCACGCCAAGGTCGAATTGGCTCAGACCCAGGCCAGACTCGCCCAGCGGGAGGGCAGCAACTTCAGCACCGTCATCGCTATCACTCGACATGACTGTGAAGCTGCGAGTAGAGCTCGGCGTCTTGGGCTCCGACGACTGGTACGGCGATCGGAAAGGAGGCAGCGGAGCCGGATATCCCTGCACGTTCGTGTAGCGAGGCTCGTGGTTCTGCTTCCGTGGAGCTGCGTACTGGTCCAGGGGAGACTGGTAACGCTCCTTAGGCTGCTGGAACGCGGACGCCCGGCGTTTCTGGTGTACACGGTTCTCCTGTACGCGTTTGTTGCGTCCCTCCGTCTGCTTCTTGTGCGACTGAGGCGTGGCCGGATAGGGAGAGAACTTGTCCTCCGCGTCCAGATCGGACAGTGATACGTTGTCACTGCGGTTGCTCTTGCTCTTAGCACGGTCGCGTGTAGCAGCACGTTCGCGAAGATATTCATCATCGTCGTCGTCTTGACTGCTCCAGTCACTGGCCCAGTCGAGATAATTGGATCTCAAGCTCGTGTCGGCCACGGACTGCGAGGCCTTTGCCGGAGATTTCAGCGCGTTCTGGCGGTTCGACACGGTGCGCGGGCCACGAAGAGCCACCCGTTCCACTTCCGTGTCCGTCTCGCCTCTCTCGTTGATAGCCTTCTTGATCGACGCCTCAAAGTTCAGCGAGTCGATGATCACCGTGTTGTTGATACAAAGCTTACAGAATCGCTGCTGATGCGGTCGACCAGTCTTTGCGTCGATGTGGAAGATGAAGCGGTAGTCCGAGCACGACTTGCAGACGCTCTGGAAGCAGCCTGCACACGGGCGGTTGGTCGAGATGAAGGAGCGGCCGTAGCAAATGTGGCACAACGAACTTGCCGGCCACTTGTTGTGTTGGGCGTGCTTCATGAGCATCGAGTATTTCTTGGCACGCGCGCTCTTAACGCAGTCGGTGACGTTCAAGAGCGTTCCAGCGACGACGTATTCAGCGAGACGCTGTGCGACGGAGTCGAGGTTGTACACTGTGGACCAAATGAAACACTCGACGTGGGTGTCGTCGTGGTTACGGTACAGGAAACAGGTCACCTGGTGCTCGCGCTTGATGCCCTTGATAGCGTCGATGGGCCAATCGGGGTGGTCGATCGAGTGTAGAACGTGGTAGGCCAGCTCGTTGCCATTGGCGTCTGTGGTAGTACCCATGCGTTCATAAGCAAGCACGTCGCGGTGCTTTGACAGTCCCCATGCTGCCTTAGCGGCAAACCATTTGATACCAGCGAACCGATACGGCGCGTCGGTGCTTCGTCGCTCCGTCACGTTCATAATACTGCCGTCTACCAACTTGTACTTTAGAAGAGTCTTGCACGCACGGAGGTCGTCCGTTGTATCGCAGTAGAGTCCGTCCATGACGTCCTGTACGGGCCCGTGAATGAGTCCTGTGCCTTTGAAGAGCGTCACCTGTGGGTCGCGCGTGCCATACACGCTCTTGTAAATACTAAGCTGCTTGCGACGGCGGACGTGAATCCATGCGTCCTCATTGGTGTGGCCACTCTGTGAGGAATACTCAGCTACTGCATCGCAAAGGAACGAGGTCACGTTGCGGTCGTAACGAGCCTGTTCCTCCGGCGTGAGTTCGATCTGTGGGAATGGCGGGATGTTCTCTGTCATGGCTGACCTACTAGCCCCCGAGTGCTTTTCTCGGTTCGGTGGCGAGTTCAATTGAGCCGACGTGAGTCCAAGTCGGCAAATCTCTTTGTGAACGACGACGTTGTGCAGGTATTCGGGTCGGCAACGAGATGCCAGAGAGACGCTGGGGTGCACAAGCGAAGTTCGAACGAGGAATCATGAGACCGGGAGGTCCGTCTTTTGTAGCAAAACAGATCTCGAAAACGTATCTGGAGGAAGGGGTCTCCGTACACGAGTCGTGTAACACGACCACGAGTTTGTGGATCGGGGAGCGCCCGCAAAGAGAACTCGTCGACAGCCTGTTCTAAGCAACGGACACGTTGTGCCTTGAAGCTTGGCTCGTCTGGAGCGGAGCATATTGGAGACTTGTGCGAGCAGAGATCCGGCAAAAGGTTCAATGATGCAGCACGATGAGGTGAGCGGCAAAAGTTGTCGGATGTGAAGGTTGCGTGAATGCTGAGTGCATGAAGCCACCTTTGGCCCAGGTAGAAGCGACTTGAACATTTTTCGGTGGCCGGCCACGGTGGACATGGCGCCAAAATGCAGCACCCAGGATGATGGAACGCCTCCAAGCAGCACAAGCGTCTCTACATGTACTGTACCAGGAGGACTTGCGCTTAGCGGCATTAGTACATCGCGATGTATCGTTGTGGTCGAACATAAAAAGTATTCGGCCAATCGTACAGATACTGTTGAAACACATATTCGTGACGCGAAAGATTTTTTTTCCCGTCATCAAACGGTGGAGAGCCTTCTATAACAAATTACCTTACTTATATGAATATTTCGGCCGCACTATTCGGAAATTTTATTTCAGAGGTTTTTCCGACTCTTTGATTTACATCGGAACATCCTTTTGATGGGAAGTGGTCTTGCCAAGACATCCGCAGCGTGAAAGCAGTTGTTCTCCACTTGCCGTGCAAGTTACTGTACACTGCAACATTCAACGCTCTTCAAGGCGGTCTGTAGCCACCTCCGTCGAAGCCGCCTACGTTTCCCGCAGCGGCAGACGCGTGTTGGACGCCCTTCCTCGTCAGCGCAAAACTTCTACATCGGTGGTAGAAGATCAATTCCCTTCCCGGTGTCAAGCTACAGTACTACTTGTATTATTATTGTAGTGCTTGTAGTGTACACTGTACCACCACAGCAGAGTTCAAATCTAACATTTCGCTGAATTCCGTTACCAACCGCTGTGACTGCCAACATGAAATGTCTCCGACATTAGTTTACAACTCACGCGTCCGAGTTCCAGCTCCAGATCGCGATCCTGGCGCCATTGATAGAACCCTGTACTATCGACATGCTAGATTTTTTAGTCTCGTTAGCGCCGAGCAACGTTTGCGGTGTACTGCTATGTTAGTACTTAGTACTATGAAAGTACATGTAGTTCGTAACTTGTGGGCTCGATTAGTGGGCAGCAATGACATTCCAACGGCCGTGCAAAAGAACAGTGGTCGGACTAAGCAACGCGATACTTAGCGGCAGTTCAACGTTTGGCTCTGACATGGAGCGAGTATCCATACAAGTCGTTCGATTTCCAAGCCATAGGGCGCAGTGTGTGCAAGTCATATCAACATGCACGTGTATTTATTCCTCCGGCATCCGGAATGGTTTCACGCGCAAGGTTCCCATGTGGTGTTGCTAGCCACCTGGGATCGGGGATTCCTGCCCATGAGTCATGGTGGCACGAAAATCACGAGACCACACCGAGTCGGTCGGACAAGGAGTGCAATGATTTGGACACATACAATTGGATTGCGCACTTCGCTGCATGTGCATATATTACATGTACTAAAATAGGTATACATGCAAAGTGTTCAACTCATTTACTAACGCGACCACAGACGTGACGAAGATGGCTCCACCCACAGGAATGACAATCGCAACATCCCTGCCTGGGTCTCGAATTTTTTTCATACTTATACCGATACAGCTCGTTTTTTTCCTGTTCGAACCGGATTTTGCCTACAGTTTGTGGCACTTGTCGTGATTGAGTGTCAAAAAGCGGGTGGCTGCTCTCATATCGTCGCGCCGCACCGAGTTACTTGGCTACGTCCCAATTTCCTGTTACAGTTGTTGACAGTACATTGAGGCAGTGCTCTGAGCTACGAGTATGGCACGTATTAATACCGTGAGGCTTGTAGAAACCGATCATGCCGCGCTTTCAAATTTGACAAGCAAGATGATCTCTTCACCTTGCTTTCGCATACACACAAGGCATGGCAACAGCACCGGTGGACTGTAATGAAATTTCGAGTCCTCCCTTCAAATATTTTAAGCTGAATGCTTGCTCCGTTCCGATCTTCTTAAGATCACAAGCCTATACAGTAATGTTGGTGCACACACAATATTCGAGATCTCCTGAGGTGAAAGGTGTAACACGAATTATTTTTTTCCAGTATGCCCCGCGTAAAGGTGTCAAGATTAATATCGCGGCTCGCTTGGTGGCTTGAAATATTAAAAAAAAAAATTCAACCCTTAACACGATTCGACATGCCAGCAAAACCACCAAGACACTCTCAGCTCGATCCAATAAAAGCGCACTCTCCAGAGAATTTTTCGCCTGCGCACTCTCCAGAGAATTTTTCGCCTGCGTACGTCGAAGCGCGCATGTATCCTTTACGACAACAAATTTTACCGGCGTGACACCCGAAGATCATCGTGATTATCTAGTTTCACACAGGTATTAATTAATATGTCAAGATAAACTTTTTTTGTCATTCGAAAGGGCGCTGGTTGACCCGACACCCAGTCGTTTTATAAAGAGCAAGTCCATGTCGAAGCGTTTGGCGATTCAGCTTCCTGCCTTTGCTCGCGTTGCTGTGCTACTCAGTCTCTACAGCCTCGATCTCTTGGATCTTCACGCAAAAATTGCTTGGATTGGAACGTCTGAGTCATTCTCGTTCGACGTGGTGCATCATCACAGTTTCGAAAATGACCCCCTTGCAAGACCTGAATTTCCAAGTGCAAACGAATCACTTCCAACAACAGAATTGGGAACGGAGCTACTTCGCGTATCCGGATGGACATCACTCTACGAGAGATGCAGCGACCTGTACGCCACCAAAGACAACGAAGAGTTCGACATGATCAAAGCCATCAACTGCGAACTTGGTCCACAATTTTCTACCGAACGCCGTGTTGCAGATGAGTTGATTCTCTCTGCTACTTTGAATGTTGATTCGGTAGCGTGGGTAAGCTGTCAATTGTTGTTTTTTCACCGACGACCACCACTCTGCCAAGAAAACGTTGTCACGTTATTTTCTACGAGATATCGACTTACAGAGGATGAGGTTGACCCTGATAAAATGGCTCCTATCCACTCGATAGCTGAAGCAGAGCTCTTAAGAATGCTAGATCTTCTAAGTCGTAGCCATCCGCTGTCAAACGTGGTATGTGCGCAAGGGTTTGAAGCTACTGCTGGACCCGGACGCTACGACACCGACGTGTTTGCTTGTGGCAGCCCTAATGTATTGGAGAGCGCATTCATCGGCGTATTCGCGTCAAATTTTGGCGAGTTGCACGCTGATTTGGCGCAGCTAGCAGTGGATGAGGTGAACATTATGGGCTTCGAGCTGATATCGCGACAAAACTCCCGCTCGCAGTTCATTTTGAAGGAGAAAAATGGAAAGGTCGTTGTCGTGGAGGAGAACATGACAAACTTCGCTACTTTTGGACATCTCTACGTGTTTTTGATCCTTGTGGACTTCGCTTTGCTCATTGCACATGCACGTGCTACATTTGACACCGGTCGGATGTTTGGGTGGAGGACTCTTATTCGATTAAAAGACGCAGAAAACAACGATAGCGATAATTTTGGCGACTCGAGCTGGTTGCTGCTTTATCGCTCATTGTATCGCAGTGGTCCAATAGCAGCACTAACGATACTATCAGCTTTGATCTCGTGGTTTGTAAACCTCCCATTCGCATTGATGTGGTGCACAGCGTCGGAAGGAAAAGTATACGCACTCGTGTCTGCTGTTCGGGTTTGGATGCTAGTACTCTGTTTGTTGAATTTACTCTGGGGTATGTTCGTCCGAATCCGTGAGGCTCGAGCATATAGTGTGGTAAAAGGCACATTTGTGACTCCGTTGGAGATACTAGCCGTGTCAGCATTCATAGTCATCTTGAAAATGGGTACACTGTTTGATGTGGCAGTGATCAGACGGCAGCTTGAAGGCCAACAAGGAGTTGATAGTAAAGCTTTTTCAGGTCGTACAGCACTCTGGAACGCATACAACCCAGAAGTTGACGGGTTTGCGACTACGCCACCTCAAATTGTGCATACGTTACTTGCTCCGATAGCAATTGCAGTCACAGAGAGTTTACTATTGGTTGTGGTGGTGCTTATTGTGAAATTCGTGTACTATCGTCGACTATTGGATCGGCAAGATAATGAAGCTGCGAGTGCAGTTTCAGTGGTAGATTTCGACAACATTGACGAACATTTGTCATATCCCTCGGTGGATCAACGCACCTCCAAGGCACCTCTGATATCTCGCCGTCATGCGAAGAATTACAGTCGACTACCGTTGGAAGAGCTGTTGCGCACACCAGCCAGAGCGAATAGTTTGGTCCGTTGTTGCTTCGATATTGACGTGGTAGAGGACGACGGCCTCACTTACATGTTGCCTCACGTATACTACGACTTCGGTGTTGTGGTGACTGACGCTGGATATCTGCGAACTCGACGTGGATTTTCCACTGTGATTCATCGCCGTCTCGACGTCGAGAAATTTTTCGCTCCGATTGAAAAATCATCGACAGTCTCGCCGACTCCTCTAAAGCGGCAGCGGCTTCGTGACGGAAATACTTCTACCAGAGCCAAGTTTGCGCTGGAAAGTATGCCTGCTCCGGTAGACGCGGTACCTGAGAACCGCAGTCCACCTCCTCCACGAACACTGTCGGAATTTAGATCGATGCCAATGGCAAAATCCATGCGGCGGCGCAAGAGCATGGAGGAGCTACTCGAGAATCCGTCACCTTCGCCCTAATGTCGGCCACAGGGGACACCACGGAAGCAGGCATCTATCCAATGGCTTAATAAATTGCAAGGCAAGTCTAGCGTGGATTTTCGATTTGGTAGAGACAACTCGGTTGCAATTGTTACCGAAATGTGCGTGTACAAAACTGTTGTGTTGAGCTCACTTGCGCTAGCATCGTGGTACAAATGTGCGGTTTAATCTTTCATGGTCATCTGAATCTTACGCACCGCAATAATCACGGCACAGGTGAGGATAACTACCGCGCCAACAATGCTCCAATGGTTGATGTGTTCGCCCAGAATAAGCGAGTCCCAGATGAAGACGAATACGACGTCCAAGTAGCGCATGACTGCCGCAATGCCTGCCTTCTCCAGCTGGAAGCCTCGAGTAAGGAACATTTGCCCGCCGAATGTAGCTATACCAGTACCGATAATAGCTCTCCAAAGCAAGAACGTATCGGGCATGTAGAAGGACTGTATACATTCAACATGAGTTAGTGATAATTTGATAATTTACTTGAAAGCCTGTTGTTCCCCAGCAAACTACCTGTTGAATCAGCGCTAACCACAGCATCGTCAAAATGACACTCGCCAACGCGAAATAGTGCACAATTACGAACACATTCAACCCCTTTAGCTGACGCATCGTCAGAAACACGAACACTTGACTGAACGCGCCCAGTAAAGCCGAGCAAACTGCAACCCACGAGCCATCCGATGCAGCCGTCGGGTGGTCGTATCCAAACAGGAATCCCGGACGTACTACACAGATGAGACCACCAAACGCGGTGATGGCGCTAATGAGACTGATCGGGTCGATTTTCTCATGAAGGAACAGCGCGCCCTGGACGCATCAATCGTCAGACTATACGAAGCACTACATTCGATGTTAAAACGCACCATGAAGAAGGTGAGGACGGGGCTAACGAACACTAAGGAGCTGGCGTCGGCTAGCACCATTTGCGACATGGCGTAGAAAGCGAAGCCCATGCAGGCGAAGCCCGCAATGCAGGTACAGCAGCATCTTGCGGAACTCCGGTTCGACGTACAGACTGATGCCCGACAACTTGACAACGATCTAACACGGTGGCAGCAGTGTCAGTATGTTATTGACAGCTATTTTGGAGCTGCAGCAACGCACGAGATTGCACACGAGCACACCGAGTGAGCGCCAGAATGTGGCCTCCATGGACGAGAAGGTGAAAGTCATGTACTTGATGAACGTGGACATGAAGCTGAAGCACAATGACGCCAATGCGACGCACGCCATACCCAGCAGAGCGTGAGGGCTGTGCTCTCCATCAACTTTGACGGAGACTGGGCTGGAGGACGTGGTGGGCAGCAACGGCGCTGCTTCATTCGAGTTGTCGGCCATGCGGTCTGTTGACGGAGCGCTGGTCTCAGCAAAAAAAGTCACATTCGCGTCGAATTGTAGTGTGTACCACGTAAACTGAAGTTGAAGATTGTTGGGTACATATTACTTTGGCCTGTTTAAAGGGTTAACAGGCCAACAAGGCCAGCCATGCGCGTCAGGTGCTTGATAGATTGTATTTAGCTTTGATTTCCCGACAAAAATGCGGGTATAGTTCCAAAGACAAGAGCAAGAGTCTCCAGGCTAAGCGCTTCCCCTCTATTGATCCTATTGATGCTGGAACCAACACACAGCCACTACAACGTGAGTGTAGTGAAGAAGAACAATTAGACGTGGAGACACACCGCAAGTCCCGACCTCTTTCGTAGCAGCCAATGGTGCTATTATTGCATAGTGCTCACAACCACACGTACAGAAGAACGGTATTCCGGTAGCACAAGACGACAACTCTGCTCCTTATCGATTATTCGAACGTCTTACCCACCTTGGTGTAATTAGTGCCAATTGTGCTCTTAATGCGAGACAAGGTAGGCACCGCAATACGAGTGTGAGCCAAGAACGAATAATTCCAATGGCGAAAGGATAGTTGTGAGGTGCACATGCTCACCTTGAGCTTCCTGAGCAAGGGACATTATGAGCTACTGGCCTTTCCAGACGCTTGCCAATCAAATCACCTCCTGTCAGCATGGTGGAGGGAGAGTATCGCACAGTGTGAATCAATCTGTGATGAGTGTGGGCTCATTCGCCAACAGGTCTCTGGCAGAGCACAAGCAGTTTCACGATGAGTATCGGTCAACCCAAGAGTGAAGGAGCCCCGCTACTGCCGACCGCCTCCTCCGACCCTGTCGTGGACAAGATCGAAGCAGAGCCGACCCATCATGCTCTACTCGGTATTACGTGCGTGGCTTTGGCGTCTCTGTGCTTTAGCCTCATGGTCACGTTCATCAAGTACATGACGTTCTCGTTCTCATCCATGGAGGCCACATTCTGGCGCTCAATCGGCGTCCTTGTGTTCAATTACGTACGTTGCGATCATTCCGATGGTAGTTCGGCAAATGTAATAGCTGACTGTGCTGTTATGTGTGCGTAGATTACAGTAAAGGTATCAGGGACAAGTCTATACGTTCCGCCTGAATACCGTCGGATGCTGCTATATCGCTGTCTCGTTGGCTTTACCTGCATGGGCTTTGCCTTCTACGCGATGTCACAAATGGTACTGGCCGACGCTAGTGCATTAATCCTGACTTCGCCAATTATGACCTTCTTCATGGTACGTAAAGCGTTCAAATAGCGCTACAAACCTCGAATGGATGCGTGCTAACCCGCTGAATGCAGAGCGCGATCTTTTTGGGAGAGAAGATCGATCCTGTGAGTCTATTGTGCGCTTTCGGTTCATTTGGCGGCCTGATCTGTGTCGTACGACCGGGTTTTCTGTTTGGATATGATGACTCGGTCGCTGCGAAGGCTAACTCTTGGATTGGAGTGTGTTCGGCACTCCTCGGAGCGCTGAGTCAGGTTGGGGTATTCCTGACCGTGCGCCAGCTGAAGGGACTCAACGTTTTCGTGATAGTTCATTATTTCGCGTTGGCTAGTGTCATTTTGACGATGCTGTGGCTGACGCTGATTCAACAGGTACGAAAATGTACTGCGTACTCGAGCGACATAAGTGAAGTCTGACCAGGTTATTGTTATTGTAGTCCTTCCTCATTCCTTCGACGTTCCAACTCTGGAGAGCCATCCTGGGAACTGGTGTGTTCGCATTCGGCGGCCAAATGCTGCTCACAAAAGGCTTCCAGCTTGAAAAAGCTGGCATTGCGGCTGTCATGCGCTATCTGCAAGTGGTATTCGTCTTCATTTGGGACTCGCTTATTTTGGGCGAGCACATCAACCACTGGAGCATCGTCGGCGCGTTCATTATCGTATCTGGCGCAGTGGCTATTGCAGTACGAAAGATCAAGACTGTACGAGGCTAGCGCTCATGTAAACTGCAGTAGTTGGAGTCAAGCGTGCAAATGACGGAGACAAATGTAGTAGCGGACGATACCCAATTCTTTTTAACTTGCTGTTATTAAAATTGCACGATCAAAATGATTGGAATGTCTCCATAGTATCAGTCCTTACACACAGAATTTACTCATGGCCACGACAGCAAGTGTCGTTGCGACACCTTCCCTCTCTTCCGCTATGGTTCATCCTGGTTCGTCCTTGGATGAACAGCTCATTTGACATTTTCTGATTGGCCATACGCTCCAGCCGTTCAATTGTCACTGACGTCAACACTCATCAAAGCCCGCACAACTCATTCGACCACGTTGAGCGCAGATCCTCGCCGCCACCAGTTGCGTTAACGATGTCGATCGGAGCTGAGAATCACGTGTCGGAGCACAAGCCGCTCCTGCCGACCACGTCGTCGGACGTCAAGACAGAGGACCAACCGCACAAGCTCCTGGGTATCTCGTGCGTGGCGCTGTCGGCTGTGTGCTTCAGCCTCATGTCGACTATGCTTAAATACAACACGTACACCATGACGTCCGTTGAGGCTATTTTCTGGCGCTCTATTGTGGCTATGGCACTCAACTATGTACGTATCTACTAACGAAAAGGTCTCGTAATGATGGTGGTTAACGGTTGGCTTCGTGGTTGCGATGCAGGCGTGCATCTGGTACAATGGTAAATCGCTGTACGTTGCGCCGGAAGACCGGATGATGCTGTTCTACCGTTGCTTGGCTGGCTTCTCCTCCATTTCATTCGCCTTCTACGCCGTCTCTCAAATGGTGCTCGCCGACGCGAGTACAGTCGTTTTCACGTCACCTGTTTTCACCTTCTTCCTGGTTAGTTCGTAGACCTTTTGATCACCTGACCTAGAGTGTAGCTGACTGTGTTGAAATTGGTCTGATGTCTAGGGAGCTTGTGTTCTTCACGAACGTATCGATATCCCCAGCTTCGCGTGTGCGCTTCTGTCGTTCGGTGGTTTACTCTGCGTCGTTCGTCCTGCCTTCATCTTTGGAAACGACCATGCTACGGCGCACACGGATGGTTCATGGATTGCTATCGGCTCAGCGTTGCTTGGTGCCATTGGCCAGGCGTTCGTCTTCATTTCGGTTCGAAAACTCAAGAGCATCCACTTCTTGGTTATCGTACACTACTTTATGCTCTTCAGTGTGATCGGATCGCTCCTGTACATGGTGCTGGTGCAGCGGGTACGTTGTCCATGGACTCTATTGCTTGTTGTACTAGAGCTAATGCTTGTGGCGCTCAGGTATTCGTGGTGCCTTCGACCACTGGCGTCTGGCTGGCTGTCATCGGTAGTGGCGTGTTCACGTTTGTAGGCCAGATGCTACTTACTAAGGGTTTCCAGCTAGAGAAGGCAGGCATTGCCTCTGTGATGCGCTACCTGGACGTGGTGTGCGTCTTCATGTGGGACTACCTGTTGCTAGGTGAGAAGATCAACTACTGGAGTGTCGTAGGTGCTGCTATCATTTGCACATGTGCTGCTACCATCGCCCTACGCAAGGCTCACACGGGTTAAATGAATGTTACACTTGTGTATCTGACGAGATTTAGATTGATAATATAGCTATCAACGTTTCTTGAATCATTTTCTCGAGTCGGTGTCTGCTTCGTAACAAGCGTTTTAAACTGGAGCGTGCTAGGCGGTGACTTCAACTTGGAAGCAACTCGTGTATGCCGCGCCGCCGTAGATTCCACTGGAAGTTGGGATTGAGGAGTTGGTATCGGCGTCGTAGAACTTCCAATACCAGACGAGGTTGTAGACGCCAGGAGTTGTACCCGCCGGTATGTTAAAGGTGCCAACACAAGGGTATCCGTCTCCTGATCGTCCTGAAGGAATCGTGTGGGCTTCATCTGTGTACGCTTCACCACAATTGCCATCGTCGAAGTTATGAAGCTGGCCGTCAATGAGCTTGTCGGTGGTCAAGTCGAACGTCGTCGCCAAGCTCGTGCCAGGGACACCTGTCCAGTACACGCCGTAGAAAGTCTTGCCTGCCGCTTGCTCCTTGACGATGTGGCCATTGGACGTGTAGCCGTAGTACACGGTGGCTCCGGCAGTCAAAGTGAGGCGATGGCGCCAGGTTGAGTAGTCCCAGGCGTCGGTAGTACAGATCGCTGTGTTCTTGGCCACGTCGGCGATCAGGATCTTGAACGTCATCTTGTTGTTCACTTCCGGGTCGCCTCGACCGACGTAGTTCTTCATGTAGCCTGCACACATACCGTTGGCTTTGTCTCCACCGAAAATGTACTCGGGTCCGCGGTTGTAGACGACTGTGCGATCTGTGTCGAGGCAGTCGATCCAGCTGTGACCAAGCACTGCAGCGATACACAGCATCAAAACTAAGACCAGCATGTTCTTCTGCATTGTCGATGGATTAAATCAAGTCTGGAAAGTGCGCAGTCGAGGTCGAATCACGAAATGGACAAGGGTATACGTACTGTTCGAAGCGAGTCTTGGGTGGCGTTCACTTGAATAACCAAAGTTCGAGAAAGGCTGGAACAGGTAACTCGAATCCGGTATTGATGGCGGAACACTGCTTCGATATCATCGCTAGCTTGACCACGGATGGCATCAATGGAGTGGTAAATAGATGAAAGCAACAGGCGACAAAGCTGGTTACGGGATATAGGCAAATGGTCTACTTAAGTAACGTCTTACAGGAACTTTTCTTGATCGACATGAGGCTTCCTGCCGTTCTGTTGGCGTTTACGCGGATGATAATTGGTCTGATGCTGTTTCTTCTCAGGTTCCTCTTCGCTCGACGCGTCTTCTTGCAGGAGTGAACGCTGCTGGTCCGCGTGCTTGGGCAGCATGAGGTGCGGCGGCACGCCCTTTATGATACTCTTGGCGCGAATGTCCATCCACTTGCGGAAATTCCAGTACGGCGCGCGCTCGGGTAGCTGCAGCGCAATCCGCAAGGCGTTATGCCAGTCAAGACGACTCAGACGCTTGTTCATCTGCATCATCTGCATGGTAAGACGCACGGCCTCGCGAGTGTTCTTGCGTTTTTCATCGTAGAAATTGATGGCTTCACGGTAGCACATGGTGGTCTTGCCCATGCGTTTAGCATTCTTCTGCAGCATTTGCACCGCAGTCTCCACTGCGCCGCCGCGAATGTACGACAGGATGATGCACTGATAGGTCACGGTATCCCACTTCATCCCCTGTTTCTTCATTTCGTTGGCTAGCGGATGCATTTTTTCAAGCTGGTTGGTCTCCAGTAAAGCGATAAGAGCGGCGTTATAGGAGAATAAGTTGAGCTGGTCATCCTTGGATCGGCGCTCCTTGTACTTGTAAAAAATCTCCAGTCCACGCAGCTTGATCTCCTCCTTCTCGGCCTTAGCGTGACCCATAATAACCGCACCAAGGTATACGCCACGTAGGTTTTCACGGAGGTCGTCGGGCATCTGTTCATACACTTCCACTACTGTGTCCCACTGCTTGCCCTTGGCACACGCAGAGAAGACCGAGTTGAAGATGGTCTGTGTGGGCTCGAACCCGTTCTGCTGCATGGTGTCCATCGCATCCAGTGCCAACTCCCACTTGCCGGTCTTGCCGGCGCAAATAGCAAGCGAATGGTATGTGGCCTGCGTCATCTCTAGTCGACGCTGGCGAATGGCGCGCAGCACTCCCAGCGCGCTCTGCACGTCTGCTGCTCGCGCACAACTGTTAAGTATGTTGTTGTAGATAATGATGTTCAGGTCCAGGCGGTTCTTGATCATATCGTCGAAAATCTCAAGCACCAGCTCATGCTGACTGGCCTTGAGTGCCGACGACAGCGCGTGCGAGTAGGTCACGGTTTGAGGGACGTACCCGTCATTCCGCATGACCTCGAACACGCGCAATGCGTGGCTGAATTCTTCCTCCTTATAGCAACAGCCGATAGCACTCGAGTACGACTGGATACGCGGGCGGACGCCCTGCTCACGCGCATATGCGAGTACACGCATACAGTCCTGCATGCGTCTTCTGGCACCCAGCACCTCCACTAGAAACGAGGCGACTTCGAGTCCCAGCCCACGTCCATTGGCGTGTTGAATCTCGTGGAAAATGTCTAATGCCGTGCGCCATGCAGCTGATCCATCCGACGTCTCCAGCGCCTCGGTTAGGCGCATCATGTACTCGTCTTCTAGTCGTTCCAGCGAGATGAGACGCGTGTCCCGCGGCGGCTTGCGCTCTCGCTGCTTTTGTTCCTTAATTTCGTTGTCCTTGGCTTCTACCTCAACGTCTTCATCGTAGTGAGGGTTAATGAGGTTTTGAGACAGGAACCGTGCGCCCAGAGGCGACGGTGACGTCAACGCTGAGCGGTTTAACGTCGAGAGCGTCGGCCACAGATTCGAGCTCGAGCTGCCACTTCGTAGAGCGTGGAATGCAGCACTTCGTGGAGCAGTCGATGGACGCAACACCTCATTGGCAGCGCTCCATAGGGAGCTATGGCGCGTGCAAGCACGTCCTCGACGTGCCAGCATGACGATCCGTGGCGAGGGAATGGGAGGCTCTGCGCAGCGCAATGTTAAACCAAGGATGATCAAAACACCAGCTCTACACAAAATGAGGATTCATCCTAGTTATATATTAGGTGCTCCTTAAAGTAGGATATAACCTGATTTAACGTAACGTTGATGTTGCATTCCGCATTGAAGCCCCCTTCTCATACAAAAGATCAGTCAAAGGTGAAGCGCCTGATCATGGGGAATGTCATGAGTATGGGCGGGGCTCCATCGGCCGACGCCAGCACCGTGGACGCCTACGTATCACGTCTATCGGACGCCGAGATTAAGCGCTACACTGATGGATACCGGCGTATCTGTCGCGTGGAAGGCAGCGCGTCTGCGTCTAGTGCCAACGCTCCAGCCTTCCTGCAACGTGCGAGTTCCTCGGCTTCCAACGGGAGCAGCAGCAACTTAACAGGAGCGACGGTCGCTGCAACAACAGAAGCAACGAACGGCCCTTTATTAAGCAAGAAACTGTTCCGCAACAAGGTCCTCGGAGCCTTCACCATGATCCCGCACTCCTTAGCCGACCGCTTGTTCGAGGTGCTAGACACAGAGCACTCAGGCGAGTTGAGCCTCGTGAACGTGCTGAGCGGCCTGGCCTGGCTAAAGCACGGCACATACGAAGAGCAAGTACAGCTGCTATTCATAATCTACGACCTAGATGCAGCTGGAGAGATATCTCGAGAGGTACTAGACAGGTTCATGGACGTCATCTACGGCCGTCGAAGGGCCCGACACGCCACCACAGTGCAATTTCTGGACAGAGTCTTCGATGGTCGAGCTGTGTTGAACCCGGAAGAATTCAGACGCACCGTACAGCAGAAAGATGCCCGTGGAGACGCGCTACTGGTCAAGTGGCTGGCTGTACTGGCGGCCAAGATCGGCACGGAGGATGATCCGCAGATTTTAGCACTAGAGAAGACTTATAACCCGGTGGCTATCCGCCGACGCATAGCACAGGCCACACTGTTCTCGTTAACGGAGGTTACAGCACTGGAAAGGCAGTTCCAGAAGATGTTTGACCCCAAAGGAGGAGCCAGCACCAGGATACCGAGCACACAGTTCGTTGAGGTGTTGAGCGCCAAAGGATTGTTCCCAGAAATGCTGTTAGACAGGTTTTGTGAGTGTACGGCGATGCCCGAGTTGGTGTTATTTGAAGAGTTCTGCCAGTTCTTGTCGGATTTCTGTCGAGGAAGTTCGAGGGACGAAAAAGTGCATTGTCTATTCAAGATTTACAGTGATCGCAGCACTGTGAGAGTGGACTATGCAGCGATGAAGGAGCTGATTCATGTCGGGGTTCATTGCGATACGAACGCGAACGAAGATGCTGTTCAAGACGAAGAACGACAAGTTGAGGAGGTACCAGCGTTTTGGTAACATTGTTGCTTGAGTTGAGTTGAGTTGACAATGGTGTTGTTATTTTGTAGATTTCGGCAACACAAACTGCGGAGACCGGATGGGATGAAGAAGCTTTTGCTCGATGGGCGGCCAACGCGGCGGCTGTGCAGCGGTTGCTCGATCAATTGGCGTTTGCAGCGTGTATCGTGTTTGGCCTGAAGCCTGAATCGGCGCACCTTGAGAAAAGGATTGTGGAGTGGCACTGGCGGGATGCTACTCGTGTCATTGGTATTGGACAAGTACGATGTTTTTGTATTGTAGAGAGGTATCCTCTTAGTGCTGGTTGACCCACGCAGACGTATGCTTTACTTTTGCCGTGTAGACTTGGAATCTGGTGGGAGCTGAATGGTGGCGAAAATGGTGCGACTATGTCAACATGGACCCGAAGAACGGAAGCCCCTACGGATCGCTGCCTGTACCTCTGATACCTCCGAATACTGTTGTGGAGGTAGCGAGAAATATTCGTGGTAATATTGCCTTACGCTCCGCTAGCTTCAACGCCGATGGGAGTACCAACAGACCGCCTCGACCAGGGCCAATTGCCAACTGGAGTCTTCTCATGCAAAGCGGATCCAGGAGGCTAAAGCAGAAGCTTGTGCTGGCCCGAGATTTTTACGTACGTACTTTATAATCGCTTATTTTTTTTATGTATTTTGTATCGTGCTTATGATGTGTTTTTATCGTTTTGTAGATGATTCCGTCTCAAGTGTATACGGTTCTATTCTCTTGGTACAGCGGAGGGCCCGATTTGATTCGATCTATCGTCGAGGTCCCTACGCTCACAGAACCCGAGCTTCAAATCGAGCTGTTCCCGTTAGTATTACGCGTTGCCCGTGTGGATCCTTCGAATGGCAGCGTGATTCGGTCAGGCGAAGAGATTTTGCTGAGTGAACTAAGCACACCAGTCAGTCTTCTTGAGGCTACGTGTCGCGCACTGCTGTTGCTGAAGCTGATGGATAAGGCGCGATTGTGGTACTTCAACGAGAAAGCGCCCGATCACAAGATACGCCTGCGAGACGAATATTCGAACGAACTGAAGAAATTGACCCAAGACAGTGTGTTCCTGTTAGAAGTACAAGACGACGATGGATCGTGGCCGCTCTCTCAGACTGACGACACAATCACATCGTCACCTTCGAATAGCGGATCCCGTCAGTCAACCCAAGGAAATGGCCGAATGACTGAAAATAATGCCATCCCTGCATCACGAAAACGACAGCGCGAGCATCGTCCTTCATTGCGCACATCTGATATTTGTTCCCGAGGCAATCTTGGCGAGGCATTGGGGCAACGTGGTACGTGTAGTGCGGGAAAGATATATTGCCATGCTGTAATGCTGACGTGTTGTGCTAATTCACCTTGTAGCGTCCGGGAGTGAGGCTGGATCACCGACCATAGAAGTGGATCCCGTGCTTGCGTCGCCCGTCGTGAGAAAGCGTTTTTCTAAGGACGCGTTTAAAGGTCCAGGCTTGGTGGGTCTCGACAATCTGGGCAATACATGCTACATGAGCAGTGCATTGCAGTGTTTGAGCCACACACGGTTGCTGGTGGAGTACTTCAAGAACGAGGCGTACCTCAAAGACATTAATCTGCGAAACCGTGACGGCACGAATGGGAAGTTGACTGCAGCATTTGGCGAATTGCTGCGAGTTCTCTGGACTTCTGACCGCAAGCGTTTCGCTCCGAACGAGTTCAAAAAGGTACTGGCGAAATGCAGCCCGCAGTTTGCTGGATCGGACCAACACGACGCACAGGAGTTACTGGCTTGTTTGCTAAGTAGTCTTAGTGAGGATCTGAATCGCGTCGTGAAGAAGCCTTACACTGAGCAACCTGACAGCGATGGACGACCTGACGCTCTGGTAGCAGAGGAGTGGTGGCAGAACCACCAGAAACGAGAGTTCTCGGTTATTGTGGCGCTGTTTACGGGTCAGTATAAGAGCTTGTTGGAGTGCTCGGTCTGCCGGTATGAGTCTGCGCGATTCGAGCCATTCACCTTCTTACAGTTGTCGCTGCCCGAGAGTAACACACGGTCTATCGTGCTGACGATCATCTTTCGCACTGACCGAGTACCGTTGCGCTTTTCAGTGCGAGTGAAGAATGGCGATACGGTTCAGAAGATGAAGGAACAGGTGGCGGCGTTCTTGAATAGAATGGAGAAAGAAAATTCGAGCGCAGTCACGGCGGACGATGAAGCGAGCAAAGATGAAGGTGACTGGACCAAAGTGGTGATTGCAAGGACCTCGAATTTGCACACTGTGGAGTCGCTCTTGGACGACAATCTACCGCTGACTCAGATCCACGAGAAGGATCAACTGACAGCCTTTCAACTTGACCGGGAGGAAGACTTGCTTCCTCCGCGACAGGTTTCTCCGAAACCAACAGAACTTGAAAGTGCTTCGAATACAACGATATCCTTGGATACCTATCAGGAAACACGCTCCAATGGTAAAAGTGTTCCAGCATCGCCGAAGGATGCTCCTAAAAAGGGGGATATGGAGCTGGTGAACGGGTCTCCCGTTAATGGTACAGCTTTGGTCGACACCAACGGAGTTGATAAGGATAGCGATCCACCGACCCCGACTGGTAGTGTGAACACTAATAACGAAAGCGACCCGGATGATGAAGACGAACTGCTGCCAATTGGCACGTCTGTCTACGTTCGTATTGACAAAACGAAGGATACAGTGGCCGCTCGTGTGATTGGGAGTAGCGCCAACTTGGGAATAGTTAACGTGGCGTATCCTTCAGGAGTTCGACGGTATCATATCCCATTATCGAAAGTGATCGAGCGTCGCCAGAACGACGCATTCATCTTCCTAGTACACCGCCGAGTGGAGCGATCTACGGACAGCTTTACGAACGCACACATCACACGACTATTTGGCGCCCCGTTAGTCATCCGGGTATCACTACGCGTTACGACGGCATATAACCTCTATCTGCTGATTTGGAACCGATTACGACGCATATTCAACTGGCAGCAGCCTCCCTCTCCATTAGAGCTTGACACGAACCAGGGGCGCAAGCGCGTTCGGACAGATACCTCGTCGCTAGCGCTTGGAGAACACCTCACCTTGACCAAGTTCGGCTTCTGCTTGCGTCTTGTTACGTCTCATGGGATCGGATGCTCTCGCTGTGAGTGGCTCGATGGATGTCTTGGGTGTCTGCTGCTGCCGTCTTCAGAGACAGTAATACCTCTCGCAGCGGAGGAAACCGTGGCAATTGATTGGGATATCCGTACGCTAAAGGAGGAGTACGACCCGATCCAAGCGAGCAAGATGGACTTTGATGCTTCTGTCCAGCAGCATCAGCGCCAGGACAATCAACCCCTTAACTTGGCGCATTGCATGGAGATTTTTACAGCGAAAGAAACGATCCCAGAAGCGTATTGTGGACACTGCAAGACGTTGCGTCCCGCTACAAAGAAGATGGATTTGTGGCGTCTACCTCCCTTGCTCGTGATTCACCTCAAACGCTTCTGCTTCACTCAAGTCTCACGACGTAAACTGCACCATCTTGTCGACTTTCCACTAAGAGGGCTACAGTTTGGCGACTTTGTTGCTCGAAAGCGTGAGCCACGTGGTCGATTATCTGGTCTAGAGTATTGGTTGTTCTTGGGTGGGAAGTTAAGGGCTGATGGACAGTCGGAACCGTCCCCTACTAGCAGCTCCGAGCAGGCAAGACCAGGATCTCCACGACGAGTGTCGTCATCGGCCTTGGATGCTCCAGCCGCGGCTACTGCGGCAGTACGTGGCGACGATGGCTTTCTATACGATCTGTATGCTGTGGTGAATCATGTTGGCGCATTGGGAGGAGGTCACTACTTTGCGTATGTGCTGAGCGATCATGATGGCAAGTGGAAATGTTTCAACGACCATCAGTGCAAAGATATCGACGAGAAGGAGGTAGTATCCTCGATGGCGTATATTTTATTCTATCGCCGACGAGACACTGCCAACGTGTCTATTGAGCAGCTTTTCCCACCTTTGCCAGTGGATGCAACAGGTAACGGCGCTAGCTCTGAGGAGGAAGCTGCAAGTGACAAGGCGCAGGTGGAGGAGCTCCTGCAACAATCCAAGTTGGCTGCTTCGAACGGAAGCGGCTGCATCATTAGTTGAGATAATACTTTGAAGATGTATTGTATGTATCAATGGGAGACGAGGCTGGGTTCTGAAATACCTATCTTCTGTCACGTCCCCATGACGTCATGACGAACGTCTCAAAGTTTACGGTGAAGAAGACAGCACGGCGAAAGATCCGGGCTGTACCGCACGTCCCCGGTTCTCGTCTGCCTCCTATTGCCACGCGTGAATCATTGATAGGAATTGACTTTCAACGTAAGTCACTCACTATTCCATCGACCATGGAGTACTTATCGAATCCCAACAACCAGGACACGCTTCCTTCGGAAATTCTGCAACAAGCTCACGAAGAGAGTGAAGCCCAGACTTATTCACCCGAAGCCAGCGAGCTAGCCGGAACGCGAAGAGATGATGAAAGCGAGTTAGCGAGATCTCGCAAGAAGCAGAAGGTGGACTGGGGCGACTACCAAGTTCAAATTGATAAGCTACAGCAGGAAATCGCAGAAGTAAAAGAACGTTTAGCCTCCCCGCAGCATGAGTCTTCCAGTGCAGCATACGAGCTGGGTAAGCGCTGCATCGAGGCGAAGCAGACCGCTACCACCATGAAGCGCAAACTGGCGGAACATGCCCACTGGTTGCAACGAGTTAGCAGTTTGATGGAAACTGCACCGCTTTTCGACTTTGCTGTATCGCGTGGCGACCAGAAAGAAACGAATTTACAACGAAGTATGGACGCTCTAGCCGGGTGGCGGGGGGAGACCAAGGAGCGTCCACATCCTCGTTTGAAACTGGACGAACGTCTTCGTGCAGCTGTGGCGATTTGTCAAGAGAACGCGTTGAAGCTCTTGCGTGATGCCGCTGAAGGCTCGCCATCTTTCCAGCTATCGCTCCAATTCGAGTCTCATGGATGGGAGATCGCAACGGGGACGCTGATAAACGACCACATCGGCTTTACGTGTCATCGTGTGCTTCCTTCTGCCATGGCCAAGGATGTGGCGATGGCGCTTTGGAACTCCCTGGAGCGTGATGAGATCTTCCGAACGTTTGTGCCGCTCGTACAAGACTCCATCATCACGCACCAGGAGACGAATTGTTCGTTGTTGTGCCGGATGCTTGTGTTGTCACAAGAGATGAATCAACAAGCAGTTGCGACAGTCGAGGCCATCAGCGCAACACACGACGAAGACGGACCGTGGCAGATTTCCATGGAAGCTGTGCATGATCACTATCTGTGCACATTCGCGGCAGAGGCGGCAGGTGACGCTGTCAGTCAGAACTCGTCGCCGCCTATGAAACTGGACCTTGGGCTTCAAATGAGCAAGCTCAATATGCACAACAACTTCGTGATGGGAGCGCGCGTGGTCAAGACGGATGAAGGCGTGGACGTGTTTATTGCTGGCTCGGCACGCTTCGATCTTCCATGCTACCATGACCCAACATTCAACCTGCTTCAGCACTTTGTGTCACACATGCCTGTGTACGAAGACCTCCATTTAACTGCACTCGGCGAGGCAGCGTTGGACGTTTCGTAAGTGAGTGGATACACCCTGTTCTATTTATTTGCTAAGAGATCGTCGTTGATTTAATCCGTCTCTGATCTCCACTTACCTGTCCGGTTTCTCAACTCATTCGTGTCTTCTTCATCCTCCCAGAACACGGTAGAAGCACCGGGAGTACTTGGAGAGAGTAGAGGAGCAATCATCGTCTTCGTCGACTCGGCCAACGACTGAGAGAGCCACGCCAGAAGAACGTGCATGATGTCGTGGTGCAGTTCACTCAAGTCGACAAGTTCCTTGGTTGTGATCTCGAATAGCGTACAACGACCGACAGCAGAGGCCACGCCATGAGCTGTAGCATTAGGCACGAACGACTGGATACACAGCGTTAGTATACCGATACTGTCCTCATTATCCTGAACAGCGTACCTCTTCTCCGAAGCAGTCACCACCGTGAAGTTTGATCGAAATTGAGGCAGTCGTTGCATCTGAATCACCTTGAGAGGTAGAGATCTCCATTGTGCCATCGATGATAACGTACACACACTCGACTTTGGTGCCACTGGAGTACAGCACGTCACCGTGGCTCAGCACTACAACTCGGGATAGCTGAGCAACCAGCGAGACTTTATCGTCATCGAGATTTCTCATCAAGTGTGAAGCCTTTAAGTGAATCGACTTCTCGAACGTTGTATAGTCGGCAGGATCTGATAGTGTAAGCAGTCCCTTTGACGCCAGAGTGCCAGAGCTTAAACTCCTCCCGATCGGCTGCGAGTTACTTAAGCTTCGACGCCTGCCTGGAAGAGACAAGGGGCCACCACGAGGAGTACTTCGTGATCGACCAACGTTGTACAGGAACGATTTGGCCGCTCGATCGACAGAAAGTGCTGCCTTGATGTTGCTTGTAAGTGACTCGGTCATCTTGAGCATCGGATGGTTTGTTTCGCTGTCTGAATGTGCTGTCTCCGCGGTTAACGAGCCTCTTCGATCACGACGAGGGAGACTGCCTGATTGAGCAATAGCGCGAAGTGGCTGGTAGAGAAACAAGAGATCTAGTTAGACCGAAGTGTTTAACGCTTGTGCTCTTTCTTACCTCGAAATATAGCAGTTGGAGAGATGAGGCCACTGCGTTGAGAACACCTCTGGACACCTGTGGCGTTTCCTTGATCAGCGCGTCGAGCTCTTCTCGCGATATACTGAGTAGAGTGCAGTCTTCAAGCGCGGTTGCAGAGGAAATGTGGGTGCCAGCATGTAGAGAATGCTGCAACAAAGCAGCTTGGCCTACACACGTGCCAAATCCTAACACTGCTAGAATCCTTCGCTCCTTATGAAGCTGGACTGTACCCGTGGCAACAACGTACATAGCTGAAGCTACAAAACAAGAACAAAACGAAAGAGTTAGATTGTCTACAAGAAAACATGAAACTCACTGCAGCCAGTCTTACCGATATCGCCCTCGACTGCAAAAGTTTCTCCGCATTTCACAGTTATTGGCACAAAATGGTGAGATATCACGCGTAGAATACTAATTGCACACACATTCTCGAACAGCGAGGACACGCGAAGGCAGTTGGCCACCTACGATTCAAGCGTCAGAAGCAACAAACAAACGGCGAGGTAAGTTGATACGCACCGCGATCCGCGAAAGCAGCGGGGGTTCACAATCCTTGAGTATGGTAACGGACTCATAAGGCAGAACGTCGGGGCTGCTACAATAAGCACACAGAAACACTTAGTACCACAAAAATGCATAACATGGAAGCGAGCTTGCATACCCATGATAGGTTTCAATCAGGAGTTCCTTGGTCAGTTCGTGGTTGAGCAAGTTCGGGATGATTTCATCCTGGAACGTCAGCTTCGCAGCATCGCTGAGGTGTTCAGCATGATTTCCAGCGATGTGAAGGAAATACTGGAGAGCAAGAGCTGAGAGCTCCAGCTCCGTGTCTTGGTGCTTCATCACATCCAGCAAAATGTCGACGCCATCTTTCTCACCAAATAACTCTTCAACGTCCTTTGCCATCTGAATTCACAACAGAATGTAAATCAGTACCACTGACATACCAGTATCATAACAGATATTTCAAACCTTTGATGCTGCTTTCGTTGTCGACAATTTCGGAAAAAGAAGTGGTAACACCAGTCCTTTGTATGACGAAGGAAGTAGGTTTTCCAGCACCTCCTACGAAAGCATGTTAGCCACTTGTTTAAAGATATTAGTGGATTAAGATCAATGCTTCGTACCTGAATAGCGGAGTGTACTTGGCCCAAATCCGACTGCAAGCCTTCCAGAATCACAGCGACATCAAACTCCTTCGGAAATCCCGTCGAGAGTAACTTCAGCAGTAGCCGAAGTGTATCCTTTAAGCTGTGTTCGACGTGTTGTAGCAATAGAGGGGAAGTTTCCTCGATGTTGGTAGCTGTGCGTGGACAAATCTGGAAGAAGAGTTCTAGAACGTGACGCATTTCGTGAGCCTCTCGAATCTTGATACTCAGCGCGTGGTGAATAGGGTCCATCAACTGCGAAATCGAATTCATAGTCTTTTCATCCGTCGATGTGATCTACAAAATAATAATAAAACGTTCATATGGTATGAAATCCACACTGCATAGCAACTGTGGACCATGCACTTACCAGTGATAGCAGAGCATCCACAACCAGTTCTTCCATGACCCCATCTTTCCCAAACAGATGATGCAAAACGTCCGTGCTGCCCTTGCTAACTTCATCTTCCGGTGATTTAGAGGTCACGAGTAGCGTCTCCATCAAGTGTAACAAGAAATCCAGTTTATCTTCAAGCGGAAATCCAAGATCCAGTACTTTGAGTGCACCCGCCAGTCCCTCTCTCTTGCTGTGGATCCGGTCCGAAGTTAGTGCGTAATTGCTCAGCGCTTGAGTGGGTAGTCGCAGTATCTCTTCAGTGTACTGGCAAAGTGGTCCCCATAACGCAGCCGGTTCAAATCCCTTGAGCGCCGTGACAATTTGAGAGCGTATCACAGAGTTCGCGAGATGTTTCATCAGTGCAGGGATCAGCATTCGAGAGTGGCGAGAGCTGTTTGAGCAGCACTCAACCGCGGCTTGAACGATCTGAGTTGACGAATGGTGAAGTAGATACACTAAGAAGCCATCGCCCAGCAACTCCGGTAGTTCTTTGCCCACAATTTTTAAGCCCACCACGCGTGCTTCCAACACTTTTTCCTCGTGTAATAAACGTTGAAGAATGACGTTTGATTCTTCATCCATCCAGTCGGATAATCGCAGTAATGCCACTGCAGCGCATACCACGACGGATTTGTCTTCGTCTCCACTATGGAGTAGCTTATGAAGCATCTCCGAGCACTGGTCTGCATTCATGTTGAATTTCTCGTAGCCGCAAGCTAGAATCGCTGCGACTCGTAGCTGACGAGGCACCGCAACAGATTTATCCTTCACGAGCATCATTAGATCCATCGTGTTGAAAATTCCAGTGGGAAACGTGCTGGCGTCAGGAAGTAGGTACGACTCCTGTGCGTGGAGCACGAAGTCTCGCTTCGCTGCCGTGTGGAGATTCAACAACCGCAGTTTAGTGTGCATCGGAGTGAGAGGCACACCGTCTCTGTTTTTCTTGTAAAACAGCGCTCGTAATTCCTACAAGAAGCACGTGATGTTAAAATGTATACATCAGGGCACAAATTAGACCATAACAACTTACCTGGGAGAAGAGACCGATGTGTTCGTGAGACAACGAGCTCAAGACGAAGTTGGCTTGAGTTTGCTCACCATTGACCAACGTTTCCTTGACCAACATGATCTGTATTCACAAGCATTCAGTGCACAGTTATCTGGAAACAATCCAGTTGTTTAAGTCTTACCTGATCTGGCGTGAAATCAACCAGAGGCGAGGTTAGATCTAAGTAGCCCTGCCGTAATGAGGCGTAGAACTCTGAAGCGTACGACTTCCTGGCCGCGAGTGCGTCAACAAACCACGCTGCCGACGTTGCAATCATAATAACACTACACCATAAAAAAACACCAGTCAATTGTCTAACCTCACTGAGGTTCCTGTAATACCTTACCTCGAAGAAGACGTCCCAATGAACTGAACCACCAAACTCGCAGTCAGAAACATTGACAGCACCGCTCCAAAAATCCGTGACAGCGAGCGGAATGGGCCGCACACGAAGTTTTGGAAACGACCTCGCTCGCTCTCGTTGAAAGGCAGCCACAGTAATTGCCTCGCCGGGTTAAAAATCGCTTGCGAGACGGCGTTGTAAAGCGCTCGCGTGAAGATCAGCGAGTAAGCAGACTGCATTATAAAAAAAAATAATTATCTGCAAAGCAATTTTTCATCGAATACTCAACTCACCGTCGAAACGTAAGTCGATGTTCCAAACAGGAAGATCGTCACCGGGAGCATCGCGATGCCGTACATGACTCCAAAATGCGTGAAGAACGGCCCCGATAGCAGCTGCATCGGTATCATGAGGAAACTCTGCAGTCCGTTTATCATCGACAGAGAAGCCTTCACCTCTTCCTCTGGCTGTAGCGATACCACCGACAACGTCGTATTGTCCACCAACACTCGCATCACCGTTGCCATCATATCGAAAAAACAAATGTGTTTCAAGTAGGTCCTGGCTTGAATATCTCGGATAATGGCAGTGGACGACGACGAATCTGCAGGATCCCCCGGTTTCAATTTGTCCTGTCCTCTAACTTTCCTCCCAGATGTAGCATTCTGTCCCAAATCTGAAGACGTGAAGTGTTCCGCCGATACTAGCAACACTCCTGCGATGAAAAACAACATTCCGGAAGACACCAACAAGTTGAACTCGGTCGGTAATTGCCGACTCTGGATAACCGGTAGGACCACGAAACTCGCCAATAAACTGCCAAAAGTTGATCCAAACGTGATCACTCCGAAAAACTTCTTGGATTGAGCCACGTCGAAGGCTTTGGCACATAAATCCCAGAACTGCTGGGTCAGCCATTGGGCCTGCACCTCAAGCCACAAGTATAGTAGGACAGACGTTCCACGAGCTAGTAAGGGTGCGACTAAGGAAAGCAGCGTTAGGACAAGTAGGCCGGATCCTAAAACCAAAGGACTGATTGCGTATAATATGCCAGGACGAACAGAACGAGCTGCCAACTTGTCAACCAGCTGCGTGGCCAGTGTCAACGCGTAGGCCGTGCTCAAAGACAGCGCCAGAGTGAGAGCAGCAACGCTCGAGGCCGCGTAATACCGCAGGAAAATAGCATCTCGCGAGATGGCTCCCAGTACGGCCGCGCAACACTGCAGTGTCCACAGCGCACAGAAGAAGCCCACCCGCCGCAGCAGCTTCATGTCCATCGCGACGCTACGTCACGCGAGACTGGGCTTGAGCTCTCAGGTGCCAATCGGTGACTGACTGACGACCAACGGACAGCGCGGTAGGAACCGGTAGCCTCACTCCCGAAACCAGTGGGCTCGGTAGGAGTCAGGTCGAAGACAGGATCGGTCTTCTGCCTGGGCCACGTAACCTAAAAAATAAGGAAGACGAAATAGTAAAACTATAATAATCAAGTACCCTAAAAAAGGTAGACGAAATAGCAATACGATAATAATCAAACTGTACTGACCTGGAGGGCCCATGGTTTGGACGAGAAGCTCGTCGTTGCGATTCCATGCCGCAGTAGTCAGGTTGGCACTTCCAGACGAAACGAAAATATCGTCTTTGTATGTAAGAATGAGTAGCTTGTAGTGCATGATAGGGGTACGGTGGCGGACAGGAATTGATCAACAGCTTGACGCATTCAATAGCAGACGGGCACGAACGAACCCATTTCCGGTTGATAACGACTCGCACACGCTTGTGCAGCCGATGAAGCCAGATGAGAGCACGGCAAAAAGCAATGTCCGTCAGTGCGTAGAAAGCCAAGTCGGCTCCCGTGACAGCATTGTCTTCAAGTCTGAGGAGTAGTGCGGTTCTTGCGATGTAGTCAGCTTTAACGTAGCGTACTACTGTAGCTGTAGCCCGCTTTATAGCACGGCGAGGGCCGGGTCTGGGCTTGCCGCTTAGGATATTTCGGACAGCATTAGTAGTGCAATAGTATTTTTTTGCGAGGACAGCAGCGTCGGGATTCCCACGAAAGCACCCACTCCTCTGCAAGTAGGCCTTCGCGTCAGCTTTGATGGCGCTTATCACGGCGTCTGACACAGAGTTGGCACTAGGCACTTTATTGTTCGTCCCACCACGGGCCGAAAAACTATTATGCCAACGATTTACGGCTTTCATCCATGGACGGGGCGACGGATTTTCGTCCCAATCGATGCCAGCCTCCCGTTGCCAGTTGCCAGTTGACGAGGATCTGCCGTTGGTGGAGAAATGGCTGGTAAAGGGCGCCCATCGTGTCCTGAGGTCAGACACTTCACGCTTCTGAAAGAACTTGGAAAGGCTCCTGGGAGCTACACATATCGAGAGTGCTCCTTTTGCAGGGCAGCATACAACAATGACGTCACCACCGATCCGCCAAAGGTACGTGTCGGTAGACCGCGTAATTACCTGCGGCACCTCGCGTACTGCCAGTACTACAAGGCGGCGCGGCTTACTAAGTCGTCTATAAACTCGACACCTGTTCATTCAACGGAGGAGCCGATAGCATCAGTGACCGGTCCAGTTCCCATGATGCCTTCAGGTCGAGCTTCAAGTCCAGTGTCATCTGTTGAAGATACACCAACTGGAGCGCTGCGACCTCGAGCTCCAAACCCAAGCTCACAGCAACCACAAGGACGAAGCAGTGCTCGGTTCGCAGGTGAATCGCGCGCACGGCGTGTGTTGGTACTTGACAAGAGACAAGCGGCAAGCTCTACGCGTCCACTACAAAATATGAAGCGGCTTAAACCAGCATCCGGGAAGAAAATGAAGCAGAAACGCAGATTACCAAAGGCTGAAGTCAAGCAGATTGAGTGTTCGCTTCTTGAGATGCATGCGGATAATCACCTTGCCGACCGCTTCATCGAGAACGAATCAACGCTGGGATTTTTGGAGCTGATATGCCCCGGAATTGCCGATATCCTTCCTTCTCGGCGGTCGTTAAGCAATCGCATTCTCAAATAACATGCCGATCGGTGTAAAACGAAGGATGTTGAAGCTCTTAAGGCCATGACAAACAGAACATCCGGTTGGGTAAATCTGCTCTCTGACGTGTGGCAGAATATTTCCAAAGACCACTTATTGGGATGCCAATTTTCTCTATTTGGAGAGTTGCTTACCTACGATCTATTGCCAGCCGGCGACAGGCACGACGGCATAGCAATTGCTGAGCAGTTGGAGAACGTGTTGGAGCAAGTACAAGCGGAGATGTGGAGAGTTGGCGCTCTAGTAACCGATGATGCAGGTCAGTGTGGTAGAGCTCGTCGTATTGGATTTACGTTGGCCCCAAATAGTGTTCCTGTTCTGCTTTGCTCACGATGTGAACAATCTCGTAAACGCCGTATTGAGATCAACATTTCGTGAAGTAGCAGCCAAAGCTGCCACAGCAGTCAACACTTTGAATGCGTCTTCTTCGAAATGGTTACCGCGCGCTACGAAAATGATGATACGGTTTACGGTAGATCGTTGGGTTTAAGGACTTTGTGTGAAACGCGATGGGTTTCAATGCAAGGGTGCTTTGCGTCGCTACTACGAGTGCAGCCGGCGTTTCAAATGTTTTATCGTGCAAGAGTGATTTCCCGGCAACACTGCGTGTTTTTTGTGAAGCTTCGTTTTGGGAAGAACTTAAGGAGGCTGAGGCAGTGATTGCCCCGCTGTCGTTGGCTTCGTATCGCCTACAGAGGGACGAAACACGGTTGGAGACGTTGTTCGCTCCTTCGCTGATATTCACAGGGGATTTCAACAGCATTTCGTGCGTCGCGATAACCTACTTTAAAGCATCGAGAAACGCTGGGCAAAGTGCAAGCAGCCATTGTTCATGCTGGGGTTCGCTCTTCACCCAGAGTATGTAGCGGTTGCTAAAGATCTACCTGAGACTGACGTGTCCGGGATCGGCACGCTCACGAAGATTGCCGTTTACTACCACCGACGGCAGCTCGCCACCGCAGACCTGGGCGAGCTTCGACGTGACATGATATCCAGGATGCGTGGAGAGTTCACGAACATCAAAGCCACTGAGTTTCGTGCTCCGTGGGAATACTGGGATGCTGTCGCAGTGGAAACCCCCAGTAGCGTACTACCAAAGCTGGTAATGCGTGTTCTCTCGATTGCAGTAAATACGGCAACTTGCGAGCGCCTATTTAGCGAGCTTGGACTGATCCACACTGCTAAACGCAATTGAATGGAGGCATCGAAGGCGCTTGATTTTCATATCATTGCGAAACATGTTCGACAGCGTACACAGAAGAAGGCAACCGTCTCGGAGAACCCAAAGAAAAAACTCTTAATTTCTCCAATCGAGAGAGAGATTAACTTGGCTGTAGCGAATGCCCACAACTTATTCACTCCATCGCCGCAACAGGGTGACACTATAGATGAAGACAGTGATAACGACGATCCGGGGAACGGAGTTGATGGCGATCCAACTCTGTCATTGTGGGGGGGGGGGGTTCTTGATGATGTATTTTGAAGATGAAGAGGTCGGTTCTGGCTACACAGAAACAGCGGCACGCATTGATGGAGAGGCTTTGAGAGAGTCGAGAGAATGGCGACCGGCAAATAACATTAGCAACGAACTGGAAGCCATCCCCGAGGCCGTCAAGCAAGCGTTCACCAACCACAACGATCGGAATTTTCCCCAAGAAGCTATTAAACTGCGCGGGTTTCGCGGGCGAAAAGCATCTCTAGGGGAGTTGTTTGGGCTGCAGGTGAACCTGTTGTCGTAAGGAATACAGCCGATCAATTGAAGATTGCTTCACTTCTTGAAATATAAACGTACATGGATGAAAGTTGTTTGCTGAACGCGGTACCGCTCTCTTCCTCCACCAACATTGAATACCGACATAATTCTTAGCCCAGTTCGGTTCAACCATAGTTCACCCATTGTATCAAAGCCAGGATCCAGTCCGTCCGTAATTGGAAGTCTTCCGCTCGCACAACATCTCCACCCACGGCCGTCGATTGCTCAAGTTACGCTGCGCTATCGCAGCAAACGTCAAAGACTCGATATCCCCGTCCACATAGTTGCGAATGACTTCAGTTACTTGAGCTCGCGTCACTTCCTTGTGGTTCTCCTCGTACCTGTCCAATTTATAGATGATAACAAGCGCAAACCTTCGACTCTCCATGCTCAAATGACTAGTGATGCATTGCTGCTGCGCAGCCCTTTGAGACTGAGGCTGACAAGCTCGCCGAAGAGGAGGATGAAATGGTTGGGTCGTTCAATGATGATGCTATCCCGTCCGGACTCTCATTACCCACAGCAGAACCTGGTTGTTTGCACTCGACTGCAGCTGAGAGATACGCCATGATGCCGTTCGACAGGAGCTTGGGGTGATACTTGGTGATCGCACGAAAGGTTGAAGAGAGCTCGTAAGCCGATACTGAAGACTTCGTCGGCTAAGGCCAACAACGGACTGTTTTCGATTGATATAGAGCCTCGACGTTCTCCAGTGGAAGTTGTCCCGGACATCATGACTTGCAAGAGCTTCATGAGCGCGTACAGCACGCCGTCCTCGACTACTTTCGGTCGCGTCGTACCGTGCGAGAGCAGGTTGGACAGCGTCTTGGCGTGAATCTACTTGGAGGTGGCACATAGCAAGGCCACACTTTTGTGTTTTTCTGTAAAGTAAATTGATACAATTATTGCAGTACATAACGATAACGACAATTTTCGTCCAAAATCACACTGAAAAACATTCAATTTATCAGTTACTGGCTTCTAGCCATATTTTATTACTCAACGACAACGAACTTGTAGAACGTTCGATGCGTAATAGAATATGCGTGGATAGCATTCAGACGAAAAAAAACCATTAAATTTTTAATTGTTTTTTTTTTCGTCTGAATGCCATCCAACGGTATGGTTTATTTGGGTTATTCGAAACCAACTCAAAATAGTCCAATTTTGGGTCGTAATAAAATATGCTTGGATAGCATTCAGACGAAAAAAAACCATTAAAATTTTAATGGTTTTTTTTCGTCTGAATGCCATTCCGGTCAATCAGCGTGCGGTACCGACGAGTTTTAAGTGAAATTTAAAAATAATTATTTGAATAGCAATCCATTTAATCTTGAATTATTTTTTTCTTGGAAAGTTCAATTGCTTTAGTGGGTACTTAATCAGTTTTAACAAAAAGCTGTGTCTACTTATACGAGTTCGTATCGGTTTCTTGTTTTCGCTGTTCTTTTAGAACGAGAGAAATTCAGATTCTAGATTGACGTGGCGGTTCGTTTGGAATGAGGAAAATCTGGATTGTAGGTTGCCACCAGCAATTCTTGGAACCGAGGAAACCAAACCATTTAGTAGTTACTGGCAATTCAGCCCGGCCGTTCATTATCCAAAAACCTCCACACCGCAAGCGCTATTACAATCCTAATTCAACTCCACTATGGCCAAGTTCTTCCCCTGCATTATGATGATCATTGCAGTTGTGTGCTTTGACGCAGCAATTGCCTCCCGCCACTTGAGACCGGCTGCTGACCAAGCGCCCGCGCCGTGTGCGATGCACTTGCAGAGTTCAAGCTCGGATAGCGTCGGCAATGATGGCTCGTTGAACGAGTCGGGCACGATCTCCATCGGAAACAAGGTGTTCAACATCGTGGATGAGGGAGACACGATGACCATTGGTGATACTAAATTCAGAGTTTTCAGCTAAGGAGTGTGCTTGGCACGCGTGACGAGACAGTTTATCACCGTAAATGAACTCCCAAGTTTAGCTAAGCACTTCTTTGCGTGGATATAATCATCGCGCTGAACACCGAAAGAGGCAGTGCCAACAACGCCTTTGAAAAAAAAAATAGACCGTCACGCGGCAATCTTCCAGAACGGCAACCTTGCCGTCGAATTCATTGGGTCTTACATATTCCCACAGACACAAGGCATCGTCTCGCGTCTTCATGCATATAAGGCCTCAATAAAAAAAGAAAATAGTTTAAAAAATTAAATAGAAGGCCACCTTTCATCATCATCGTATATTCCTCGGATATGCTTAACCTCCCACAACGATATTTCAGTGACGTCGCTCATGATCTGTTGTCGTCGTGCCTCGTTGTTTAAGGTCGAGATCTTAATCCTGCGATACCTTATATCGACGGCACTTCATGATCGATTGTTGGGGTTGCAACTTCTTTCCAGTGCATGCATCAGTTACTAGACTGCGCTTCTCGGTAACTTCTTCTCGATCTCCATTGTGCGTCACGCTTAACCTTTTGTCGATGGCCTTGGATACTTCGTGGCGGTGGCAGTGAGGATGGAGATGTGCTTACCATTAACCTGGCTGTGACTCCTCAGGTATCGTTGATGGCGAGGACCTTGGGCTGCGACACTGCCATGCCTATAAACTCGCGAGATGACAGGGCGAAGTTCAATACTAGTACTTTCCTGTGATGTCGACGTGACACTTCGGTAAAGATCTATTAGGCGCGTACAGAGCTTCGTGCTAAGAGATGTTGTTTGCTGCACACCGATTAAGTCATTAAAACACCGGTTCGACATTTTAGATACCAATTAACACCAATTTGGTCATTTTCCCAAATTAAATTACTACGAAGTAAAATAAAACATAAGTTACAGGTGCTTAAGTACTTCTTTGTCACTGATTTCAGCGACACTGATTGGTCGAGATTGGTGTCAAATCGTCCGAATGTTTGCTCTCAACCAATCTCAAGATTATCTCAGGCTGTGATCAGCTTGGCAACAAAGCAGATCACACTGTTGCTACCGTTGAAATATCTCTCGCCTCTATGTCGTAGAATGTACAACGATAAAAGTACTACTACCGGTATACTCTACTGACAAGCTAATACATGTACACACTGATCAGTACGTTCCGAAAAAAATGTCCATTTTCGTGTTTCCGGATCGCTTTCAGTCATTTTTTCATTTTGAAGAAAGTTACTCCACAAAATTCGTGAAATCACAAGGTTCATTTTACTCCCAACTAGCTCTTTACACATCTTATTTTGGCTAATTCTCAATAGAAAATTGCTCATGAAGCTTCGCGTTTATCTATTTCAGACCTTTTTTTTGCTCTACTTGTGCAGTTTGAAATCCAAACATAGTGAAACTGTGTGTAAAATCCCGTTTTTGTTTTGCATATTCGCGAATAAGTTGAACAAGACAAAATTTCGGAAAAGACAGGTAAATAGTAATAATTGAAGTACATTTTTATGTTACCGGTAGGTGCCTGCCTGTATTTTCCTTGTCGCTGTTGTGACTTGATTGATCGACCGAAAAAGATCGGGTTGGAAAATGACCAAAGCGGTGTGAGGCATTTTGTGTGTTTTGACTGAACCCGTGTTTTATTGACTGACGTTAAACAGTTGTTAATATTTGTAAAGTTTGGTAGAGTGCTAGCACAGGCTCTGCAGGAGTACTGTAGATATTATTGAGATCCGAGGCTATCGGGGGGAACGAGTACATACAAAATTACAAAATAGGACAACAACACGTAAAAAGGAAATCGAACTACACGTATGCGTTCTGATAAGTTGGGTTCGCGTCGCACCGCTACAGTAAACGTGAAGCACTTTATGTGTGTGTCTATGAGCACCAAGAGCTCTTACAAACTGACACGTGGTGGTGAAACTGCCAAGGCTAAATCTCAAGCAGGGTACTCTTGCTACAGCGTACGACGACAACGGACTAAGCGCATCAAGAGCAGTAGAGATGACCGACCAGAATAGGAGTTTTTAGCGCGTTATGTGGAGTATTGCTCAGACGACTGACGGGAACATTGGCACGGCACGGTGCCGCGCCTACGACCCACACCGCCAGCGTTTACCGACACCCGTGGAAGACCCCATCATACTGCAAGTTCATAATCGAACGCCGCGTCAACTGCGGAGTTCGTCATCATGGTGCTGCGGAGCTGGTGGGCGCTGCTGTAGGTCACGCCCACCCGTACACCAACGGTAGAGGTAGGAATAGGACTAAGTACTGTTTCTCTAATGGAACTCACTTCGCAACATTCTCTCAAGCGCGCAAAATGTCATACGTTCTTTGAAGTATAGTTGTACATGTAGAGCTACAGAAATATCCAATGCTGTTTTTTTTTTTTAAATATATATCCACGAAACCCTTAATACACTACTTAAGTAAACTTTTTTTTAAAAACTTCGAATACTAATTTCATAGATATCAGTTTATTGTACTGGCGAGATGAAATGATACACCAAACTTACATATGTGCTCATAATTTTAAAGTACTAATCAGATATGTGCTGGATGACCCTCATTGAAAGCAGCGTAGCGTGGAGATCGCAAACAAACGCCTTCTGGCTTGCCTATTTACAGTCTTATTGAAAAGATGAAGCAAATACGACAACGAAAAAATTGTGCTCATCTCACGTGCACAGCGCGTTTTTAGAGGTATCTCGTGAACGACACAGCGAACAACAACGAGCTGAGTACGTTAAAATAGCTCGCCTTATATTTCTTCTGATAGTTATGATTCCGCCTGTACGGGCAGCGTAAGAAGCTTTGCAAGGCAAGTTGATGCCGGGGTGAGAGCGTCGCTCAGGGGGTTGCCGGACTCTCGTTTTTCTTTTAAGTATAGTATTGAGATGACTGGCAGTTTAGCAGAGAAACATCCCTTACTTAACAGAGGAAGCACGATTCTTTTTCAAACAAAAATAAGCTTACTTCAATTGGGAATTAGGTAAAAAGTAATAGTTGCGCAAAAGTGATGTATCATTTCATCTCGCCAGTACAATAGTACATTTTTCACTTTGGTTAAGATTCTAAGCAGTTCCTCAGTCTATTGGCTAAGAAAAAGGCATGAATGCTTCTTAGTTGGAGCTGTAGATGTAGCAATATATAAGAAAGGAGTATTTTACTCACCTCTTCGTTAATACCGCGATTGTTAGTGCTATAATAAATGGATACACCACATCGCCCGAAAATAATTTATGACTCGACCAGCGTGCCAGATTCAGGGTCAATTCGATTGTTTCATAAAACAGTATTAAAATACCGGTTGCATTAAATTGTTGAACCCACTACCCACCTCACCGTGTGAGGTGGATAGTGTGAATCACACAGAGTGGTTAGGTCGCACATTATCATTAGAAGACGGTAGTGAGCGGGTGCGAGGAGCGTAAACCCGAGCGGGGTGCCCGCGAAGCAGGACCACTCGGTATTTGCGTAGGCGGGCCCAGCGACGAGCTCACCAGCGAACGGACCCGTTGCACTCTCCAGTACATGTTTTTCTAATGCGGGGGTCTGGGGGGTGCAGCCCCCAGTATGCCTTTAATAGAGCGCTGTCCATGATTGTGATGGTTTTGTGTGTTTTTGGATGTGCTCTCAAATCACCAGGTGTTTCGCAAATTTGTCTTTTTCCCGTTGTTAAAAGCAAGAACTTCGTATTCCAGCAACAACTAAAATAGTGAATGGTTTGTGATGACTAGTACTTTATACTGTACTAGTATAAGTACAAGCATACGAAGTGGTTTCTTCTTGACAGCACTACTAATATGTAGGGCGAACAGTGCCATAAATGTACTGAAAGAGCATAGCCAAACTTACATTAAATGTATTAGCTTAGCTAGGAATTCGCGAGGATGGGATTTGTCCATTTTTTTTCGGGTTCATGTGTACGGTTCTCTTTTGAAATAGGGCTGGACTCCAACCCTACTTGGAATGGACAACGAAGCTCAGTTGAGTCGAGATTGAGCGTCTAAACCACACTTCTCAGGCCTGAAAGACAACACAATAACGTAACTATGCGGTCCTGCTGCATCGCACTCGTGATCCTTGCCTTGTACGCCGCAATCAGTGACGCAGCAACTATACCTGGTGGATCCAAGCGAAGCCCATCCGGCTTCCAGCCTTCCATTCGCTCGCTCGCGTTTAGCCGGCATGCTCCTGTCGAGAAGGTATTACTGAGGTCTAATTCAGTAGTGGGCCACGAAGAGAGGGCGTTTGCGATCCCCGGCTTGTCGAAGATCGTTGAATGGTTCAAGGCGCTTATATTAAAGATCAAGCTTTCGTTCAGTGAGGGGAAACAGCTCAGTGCTTGGCTGAAGGAGAAGAAGACGCCGGAAGACGTCTTCAAACTGCTAAAGCTCCATACTGGGACGGAAAATCTCCTGGCCAACAAAAATTTGAAGACGTGGAGTGTCTTCATGGTGCTGTACAACAAGGAAAACCCGACGAAAATGGTGACGATGCTCGGGATGCTCACAAAGACGTATGGAGATGAAGCCGTGGCCAAGATGATTGAAGCATCGCGGGCGAACCTGAAAACAAAACCCATCGCCAACAGGCTGCAGAATCTGCAATTGTCGGGCTGGGCTCAGAATGGATTATCGCCAGATATTGTGTTCCAAATGCTGAAGGTTGGCGAGGGAGGTGTGGACAAACTCATGTCCAACAAAGGCTTGAACGTGTGGTTTTACTTCTTTAACCAGATGAATCGCTACAACCCGGACCGGCAGATCGGTCTCATCAATAAGTTATTGACAGTCTACGATGACATCCCGTTGGCAAAGGCCTTCGATGCGGCATCGAAGGTGAAGTCTACGAAATTCATGGGGAAAGAGCTACAGGAGGCACAGTTCAAAAAGTGGCTTGCGGACGGCATTGAACCGTCAACTATCTTCAAACGCCTCAACTTGGACAAGTTAAAGTGGACAACTGACCCAAATGCAGATGTATATCGCGGATACAAGATATACTATTACGCAAACGCGAAATAGACGCAATTCGGTAAACTCTTATTATGCGCGCGGCCACGCGGTCATCGATATGGCGCAGCTAACATGTATCCAATGTAAAGTAACGAAGCCTCAAGGCCCACTACGGTCTCTTTTCTAATCGGACAGGTAGCTATTGTTGACTGAATTCGTTACAGCTCCCTAATTAAGCTGTGCCCGATTTCTTGGCAAGCGCTGCAAACACTGACTGAGGCTGTGCTAACAGCACCGACGGAGAGTCGAACTCCGCCACGCTACCTGCGTCCATCACGGCGATCTTGTCGCAATACAGGATCGTGTTGATGCGGTGCGCGATGATCAGCACCGTCTTGTCCTCGAACGTCTCCTTGATGGTCGTCTGGATGAGTGCGTCTGTAGCTGTATCCACATTAGCCGTGGCCTCGTCCAGCACCACCACCTTACTGTCCTTGAGCAGTGCGCGACCGATACAGATGAGCTGACGTTGACCCACTGACAGGTTGTCTCCACCTTCTGCCACCTCGAAGTCGAGACCAGCTCCCCAGCGTCGCAGACTATCAGCCATGTGAACCTGTTTGAGTACGTTCCAGATACGCTCATCCGAGTACTCGTGGAACGGGTCGAGGTTTTCACGAAGGGGTCCGCTGAAGAGCACGGGGTCCTGCGGGATGATGGCGAGGCTACGTCGGAGTTCACGGAGGTTAATAGTAGCGATATCAACATCGTCGATGAATACACGTCCGCTGTCGAAGTCGCAGATACGGAAGAGCGCAACCATAAGTGAAGATTTCCCAGCTCCGGTGCGCCCACAGATACCAACTTTCTCACCGGCAGCCACGCTCATATCAACACCTTTGAGTACCAGCGGGAGTTCCGGTCGGTAACGCAAGCAAAGCTGATCGAATCGAATACTGCCACGAGATGGCCATGCTTGCACCTTGCCCATTAGGTTTTCTTGCGAAAGAAGATCTTCAACGGTCTTGCCTATGTCGACTTCACTCTCGATCCCACGGAAGAACAGCAATCGCTCGACACTCGTCATAGCGTTATCTGTACGATCCACTGCACGCATGACCCACTGAACCACTGATGTCAACATGAGTGAATACGTGAGTGAGATACCTGAAGTCATCGCCCCGACTTGTCCTTTCGTTGCTACGAGGTAAAGCGTGACGATGAAAATAATAACCACCGAGAGAAGATCAAGTCGTGTGGCCAACCAGCGACTCGAACACCAGTACGTCAGGTACAAGTTTGTGTTCGTGTCAACGACTTGTCGGTTCCGTGCTGAGAATTTGTCTTCCATCCGGAAAGCCCGGATTGTTGCCAAACCGGACAACGTTTCGCCGAACAAATTGTACACTGGTGTCCTTGTCACGCCTTCCAGTCTCTTGATCTCACATGATGTCTTTTTGAAGTGTTCGCCAGTCCACAAGAAGACGAAGAAGATCGGAATGTACGATACACCGATCCAGTACGACGCGAAAGCTGACACTACGAGAGAACCGAGAGCCATCGACACATTTTGGAAGAGGATTTGGTACTCTTGTGGCAGAATCGAGTCCATTTGGTCCAGATCGTTTGAAAAGCGATTGAGGATACGGCCCATTGGGGTCACGTCGAAGTACCGAGTAATTGGAGCGTTCAATACCCGACGAAAGAGCTCGTCGTGAAGATTTTGCGAAGTACGAACGCACGTTTCGATCATCATCAATGCTCGAAGCAAAGTCAGTACCGAACACAGGATGATAAGTCCAAGGTACCACATACCCAGGCCCGTGTTTGAGTACGCTAAGTCTTCCGCATGACGCTTGAGCGTGCGAGCCCAGTGTCCAGGCCACCAGTCGACGACCGTGCGATTTGCTTGGCCGATACAGTACACAAGTACAAGCACGACAAAGACGACAATTCCATTGAACCCAGACTCGTCAAAGTACGTCTTGTACACCCGCGTGCTCACCGTTCCTCTCACTCGGTCTTCTGCCTGAACGAGCTTCCCCGCCGCGGTTGCGTCGTTGCTCTTGTCCTCCATCGGCTCAGTGGGTTCCGCAATAGCAATCTGTTCCTGCTGATCTTTAGAATGGTCCAGGATCGCCTCGATGTCATCATTTTCTACATTCTCTGTCGCTGGTTTCTTCTCGTTATCAACTAGAACGTCGCTATTCAATCCAAGATGAGGAAACTGAGCCGCGACATCAGTGTACGTCCCAGCCGCGGTAATTACACCCTCACTCATCACCACGATATAATCTGCATTTGGCAGCAAGTCGTAGTGGCTATTCAACACCAGCAACCGAGTCTGATCACCAGCCATACCAACGATACACTTGTCGAAAATCGCATGAGCTACGTGGGGATCCACAGCACTCAACGGATCATCCAAAATCAGCACATCCGTCCCTGCCCGGTACATCGCACGAGCGATAGCCACTCGAGCTTTCTGACCGCCACTCAAGTTGATGCCACGTTCACCAATCTCCGTCGAGTCTCCATTGGGTAGAGCCATCAGGTCCATCGCCAGTTGCGACGCATCCAGTACCTGTTCGTATCGTTCAGCATCGTAGTCTTGCTCGAAGAGAATGTTATCACGCAGAGTTGCATTGCGGATCCAGGTGTCTTGGCTAACATACGCCACGCGTCCACCGATTTCGAGTACACCGGAGGTTCGTGGCATTTCTCCAAGGATGGCGTTGACTAGACTGGATTTACCGGATCCAACCCTACCGACCACCATAACGAGAGCTCCACGCTCGATCTCCAAGTTGAGACCTTCCAGTCGAAATTCTTGTGGTTGTTGTTCATCGGGTAAAGCCGCACTTTTGACAATCTCGTCGATATCGTTACCGCTTTGGTCGTCATCTAACGTCGGTGTAACTACAACAATTCCTTCTGCAGCAGACGTCCCAGGCCAACGAAAACTAGCGTCGCGGATCGAAATGCACCCCCTACCGACAAATTCACCACCGGCGAGAGGCTCCGATATGAGAGGAGTCGTCATGGACGTATCTGTCGAAGGTGACGGCAAGGGCGATTGGGTCACGATCTCACTAGCCAGAAGGAACTGGTCGATCCGCGCAAACGAAATTTTGGCCTTCGAGTAGCCCCCAATGGCCTGAGGTAGCTGGTTGAGGGCTGTGCGGCAGATATTGACCATTGCGATCAACGTAAACGCCTGAACGACGCTGATTTCGTTCCGAATGAGCATGTACAGACCCAACGTAACACCGGACAGATACGTCGGTGTGACGAACAGCATGACGGTATTGATCACCTGGTACAAGTGGAACTTACGTAACAAAGCCACTTCCCGTACTCGTAATTTGTCCACACGTTGAGCAAGAGAATCCTCCCACGCATAGAACTTCATAACGCGGATACCTTGCAGAGCTTCGGACGTAACCTTGACGCGTTCATCGATGACTTTGAGTAGTTGTTTCTGCAGTCTGGCGATGCGATCTCCTTGCTGCACTGATAGAGCCATCACCGCGATAAGCACCAGGGCTCCAGCAATGGAAGAATAGAAGTCGAAGAGCACACCGACAAGCATAATGGAGATGGCAAAGCCAAGGGGCCCCATGACAAGCCACGGACCATGTGCCACGAAGTGGAACACGCGTTCTGTATCGACGCTCATGAGTGTGAGAATCTCGCCAGTCGTATACTCTTGGCGAGCTTCACTCGACAGCTTGAGGGCCTTATCGTAGATAAGGGACATGGTGAGAGAGCGCATGTTGATACCGATACGTGCTGACAAGAAGAACACGTAGTTCAGTGACAATACTGCAACGAGAGAGCTGCCGGTCATCATTGCCATGAGCCAGTATCCACTGGAGATGTGGAAGATATTCTCCTCATTGTTGAGGAATTCCAGAAGCCCCTGGGCGACGTACGACTGCATCCCCAACGCCACCACGTACAACATGCAGCTCGTTAACACAACGGTCAATTCCGCCCGAAATGCCACCGCGAACGCCATTGCCACGGGCGAAACGCCAAAGATATGGTGTTTATCAGGTGCGTAGACTTGACGAAAGCGAGCTTCCACAGCCTGACAAGAGTCACGGGGACAAAGAGGCCACACGTCTTCCATCTCGAGGATCTTCTTCGAGCCCAATGATATCATCGGGTAGACCCATTGCGCCAAAAGGATCGAGATGAACGAAGCATGGTCCAGTGGATTCGGTTGTTGGCTGAACGGTACAACCTCGGGTTTGGTCGATTCGCTCGATACTGCATCGGGTGTCGGTGGTGCTTTGACGTAGTCGTGCTTGATATCGGGCCAATTGTCTGCCACCATTGGAGATCAAATACAGTGAAGGATCAGGTGTGCCAAGTGTGTTGTTTCAGGCAAATTGAGGAGTGATTGGTGTCAAAGGAGTTCATTATTGTTGAAGACAAAAAAGATTGGCATCGGTCGCGGTAGGCGTTTCGTCTATGACCACCATAGCACAAAGTTGTACATCACGAGTGTCGATTAGATGGCGACCAGCCGAACCATAACTGAACAACGTCATTCGATAGCTAGGTGACCGCAAAAGGGCGAGCCTCCATGACGTAGGTTACGGGCGTAGGCGCTTGCTCAACACGTCAGATGGAAACTCACTTCAGCCAGCGTGTACATGTATAATCTCATGATACGTTAAGCTAACACTGTTATCAACATCGTTCTAGCTACGACCCTCATGATTTGCTAGTGCTGCCAACACTGACTGAGGCTGTGCCAACAGCACCAACGGAGATTCGAACTCCACCACACGACCTGCGTCCATCACGGCGATCTTGTCGCAATACAGGATCGTGTTGATGCGGTGCGCGATGATCAGCACCGTCTTGTCCTCGAACGTCTCCTTGATGGTCGTCTGGATGAGTGCGTCTGTAGCTGTATCCACATTAGCCGTGGCCTCGTCCAGCACCACCACCTTACTGTCCTTGAGCAGTGCGCGACCGATACAGATGAGCTGACGTTGACCCACTGACAGGTTGTCTCCAGCTTCTGCCACCTCGAAGTCGAGGCCAGCTCCCCAGCGTCGCAGACTATCAGCCATGTGAACCTGTTTGAGTACGTTCCAGATACGCTCATCCGAGTACTCGTGGAACGGGTCGAGGTTTTCACGAAGGGGTCCGCTGAAGAGCACGGGGTCCTGCGGGATGATGGCGAGGCTACGTCGGAGTTCACGGAGGTTAATAGTAGCGATATCAACATCGTCGATGAATACACGTCCGCTGTCGAAGTCGCAGATACGGAAGAGCGCGACCATTACTACTTCCATCCTGACTCACGGTTTCAATATTCCGGGAATGCAATAGCCGCTCGACACTCTTCATTGCGTTGTCAGCACAGCGGATGATCCACTGCACTACCGACGCCAGCACTTTCAAGTACGTGAGCAAGATGTCGGAGGTTAGCTCTCCGACCTCACCTTGGGCAGACATCAAGGAATTTTGTAACTGAACAGGTGATGAAGACGGAGAGCAAGCCCAACGGTGGAGCCCAGCCAGCGTCCAGCGTCCCAATAACGTAAGAAGATGCTGTCGTTCCTGTCGACAACGTCACGGTAGCGTGATGAGAAACTCCTTCCATCTTGATCACTCGAATAGTAAAGAAGAGAAAAGAAACCGACTGGGGATTCGGACTGCCCAGAATATGTGCGCGATGCTCGTGAAGTCCAGGATCTCAATGCAGAGAAAACAGAGCATGACGACGATATTGATGTTAGCCGTGGTGGAACACAGGAATCAGCAAATGACCGCTCGGATGATCTGGCACAGCCCGACGAGAGTACTCAGCGGTCGGATGGGGCGCACTATGATGGAGGTGGAAGAGTTGGTCAGCCCAACAACTACAGGCAGAGCGATCAAGCCAGCTACTTCTCAGAATGTATGTCATAGCGCTGCGGGTGGAGCACCACGTCCTAGATCTAGGACAAGGTGATTTGGGACGTCCCAAAATCCTACGGGATATGCTCCAGTAGCGAGGTCCAACAAGGTTGTAAGCTGGAGTCCGAGTGATCCCTTCGAGACACTTGAGTTCACATGACAATTTCTTGGAATGATCGCTCCTGAATTCGAAGATGACAACCAGCGGGATGTATTATGCATAGTTGCTGCTCCAAAACGTGTCAATGGCAGTAGGAAGCGAATGCCGATACGACCAGCGTTCCTACTGCCATAGACACTTTTTGGATCAGCAACTGGTACCCTTCGGGTAGCACAGCGTCCATTTGGGCGAGATCGTTGGAGAATCGTTTGAGAATTCGTCCAACAGGAGTCACATCAAAGTACCTCGAGATAGGCTGCCGATACGCGTCGAATTAATTGGTCGTGCATGTTTTGTGACGTCTTCATGCACGATGCGATCAACATCAACGCACGCGTTAAAATCCACACAGCACAGAGCTCTATAAACCCCAGATATCAAATACTAAATACCGAAAACCGTGCTCGAGTATAATGGGTCGACATCGAACGGTACCATGTTTTGAGCCCAATGGTCGGTCCACCTGTCCACAATTGTTCGTATTGCTTGACTAACGCTGTAGGCCAAGCTGGGCACTAGCGCGATGAGTATGCAGTTGAAACATGAGTTGTCGAAGTAGGTTTTGCATACATGGCCATCGACTGAGCCTCCCCGAGAATTGACTGGCCGGAGAGCTCCACCTGGAGGGTCACACTCCTGTGGAGACTTTCTTGGACTTACAACTGAAGGATTGTTCCAGCGATTTTACTGTGTTGGCTAGGTGTTACGACAAGATCGAAACTTGTGTAGGCGCTGGCCACTTGAAGCTCGCGTTGAGAACAGAACTGAGGAATGTCCATAGCCCAGTACTAGTGTACTGAATTTTCTAATTATCAAATTACGTGGAGTGTCAATAACAGCACGATTGTACTAAGTTCGCACTAATTATAAACAGTAGCAATCGTAAATACGTATGCGTGCTTGCATTGAGTTAGGTGTACCGAAACATTCTATTGCAAGTGTACAACTGAGATGTTGGCACTTTGACGCTTAACTTGAGTTATTGTTATTCTTCAGATTGCAGTACAATGCATTCCGTGAGTCGCGGAATTGCCACTTCGACGTTCATAATCAATGAACCGCTATGTATATTTTTTTACGGGAGGCCACTCGCTGTGGCCACATTGCCGCCCTTTGACAACGGAACTTTGCTTTTATCCTTAAGCACATAGCGGCTATTGTCGGTCTTCGTGGAGTTTGACTAAAAAGAAAAGACATCATGAATTTGAACTGCAGCATCTCATATCCAAAATGAAACTGAGTACGAAACCCAGCTATAGGCATCTATAATTGCCGAATATTCATTTATTTTTACTGATAGAAATAAACTACAGTCGCATGTACCGAAATAAATTGGCGATGGATCCCATCTAACGTATACCTTCCGTTTCTCTCTACCTGCTATTTTCAAATTTGATATTAATTTTTCTTAAACAATTACAATTCCTGTAGTACAGTACACAATAGACAGTAGATTTGCAAAACTCATAAAAAAGTGTTGGTCACTTTGTGCAGATATTATATTGGTTGGCATTTTTTCTATTTTCCCACTCGATCTAATATTGAAATGGTGTAACCAAGAGAGGCTCCTCTGCCAGCACCACAGCCTGTTTCAGGTGGTGCAGATGCAGCCGAAGATGAGCCTGGCATTGGTGACCCTGAAGGGAAAGAAGACGCCCTCCGATCTGGCGTCCAAGCTGCTGGTGTTCTCTCTAGTAATTTAGACAAGTTTGGTAAGGCACGCTTCGTTGTTGACTCAACCGACCTGGAAAATGCAAGAAAACTACCTAATCTCAGGACAACTTTTCTAGCCGAGAGTGATGACTTACCCAAGCAAACCTACGGCCGATCCTATGACTGCAATGCCAATATCGCAGAAGATGAATATTCTTTTAAATAAAAACTAATTCGTGTCCGCATCAAAGATTTCGCAATAAAATGTGGATTCCTGATTCTTGTCCAGCAATCTAGTGTTCAGTCAAACAACTTTGGCAACGCCAATAATCGTTGCAAAAACTGAATTGCGTTCAGGTTTTTCATACCGATACTCCTTCAGACAAACTTGAATGACCATTCTTTGTCAACGTATACAGACAAAATGGTGTGTGTAAGCTGACAAAAGCAAACGTTGCTCACAATCATTCGAAAAAGGTTGAGTTTGCTCGCCTAACATGTGTGGAAGGCTTGATTCTCACGAGCTGAAACAGCTCGATGCATCACCACTCAGGATATTCAAGCTCTGACGTACCTTGTGGTGCGTGACTCGATGACTATTAATGTGAGATCAACCACTACTCTTGACGGGAAACTATTGAAGATTTTCTACGATCTCGCGGATTTGTGTTGACCAAGAGACAATTCACGATAAAATTTGACATTGACGACCGTCTCCGAGAGGATGTTGTGGAGCGTTTCCAGAAGCTACAGGCCTACATTGAGTTGGTAACTGCGAATACACTGTGAAAAAATTGACAGAGAATCCGATAACGCAACATTTCGGAGCTCCTGCTTTATTCCAAATAATGGAGTGCACATTGTCAAAATGTGCAAACACTTGATCGTTTTTGACGGGACTCACCTGATTGGTGAAATGAATAATAGAAGGGCTTTTCTTGCCACCACTACCAAACACTTCAACAACCATGTGATCCCGTTTGCCCTGGCGCTGGTGCCAACTGAAAACTACGCCAATTGGACCTGGTTCATGTACTGCGTAAAACGCGACCGGTTTGGAGAGAATCACTGTGATTTCCGATCGCCAAAAGAGGTCTATTGGCGGCAGCTGCAGAACGTTTTCCTCTTTCCGGGCACCGCTTCTATCTATGTCACATAATGACCAACATCAACCAAAAGAGAGCGAGGCTGACTATTGACGATAGACGTACGATCTGTCAATTAGCTCGCAGTGACTGTGAAGATAGCTATAAACTGTTCTGTGGCGAGCTCACCGAGTCTAAACCTGCTGCTGCTGTCTATCTCGATGAAATTGACGGCAAGCACAGGGTCAAGTAAAACTTTGTGAAGGGTTTGAGCTGCCAATTTTTAATGAGATCACGTCGAACCTGTCAGAGTATGCCAACAATTAGATGAGAACTGAGCTCTGAAGTGCCAAGCCTCTTCGCGGTTTTCATTTATACTTCAAGAAACTGAGTGAATTGACAAGTGAAAAGTGTCAAATGGCGGCGAATTGGCTGCGCCAACATAAGGAAACCCATTTGGTCCCTGTACTAATCGCTCAACGCAAGGACAGAACTGCGGCAGCGGGAATGTGTAGGTTCACTGCATTTATGTTCGGTGCATACTCGGTTCAGCACCGTGGTCCTCAGGATCGAGATGGTCACCTTCCTGTCTGGAGACTTGTCGACCTTTCTCCTCAAGAATGTACGTGCGGAAATTGGCAAAATCATGCCTTTCCTTGTATTCACGCCATCTCCGCAGCTATTCAAGACGGCCCTCGACTCGAAGATTTTGTATTATGCGGAGAAAATGTATTTTGCGAATTTTCGCCAAACGCACACTTTCGTGTTTCAGCCTTGGCCGAAAGACGTCACGCTGGCGATCGACCCCACACAATTGGTCCCTCTGTTTCAACTAGATGACGAGCACGTGGGCAAGCGTGGGCTCAAGCCTGGCCCAACGCCCCAACACAGACACAAACGAGCGAGGAATAGATTGATAGCAGAATACGAAAGTCCTTAATATCTTATCGAAATCTCGCACTAAGCTAATGTTAACATTTTGAAATACATAATTGTATGATCCCATTGTTTTCTTCCTAAATCTAAACCGGTAGTTAGAAAGATAGATATTTCAAGTGATTGACCTCCAAGTTGTTTTTATTAAATGTCAAAATTGTACAAGTAGTTAGATTTCCTTTGGACAATGACGAAAAAACCAAATTTCTGCGGTTACATTTCAGGTATTTTAAAAATTTAAATTTAAATTGAGAAACACAATTTCTTATCACTGGCTTTGACAATTTTAGCTTAGGTCTTGTGCGAGACGGTAATAATAATATATATGCATCTGGACTTCTTGCACCCTGCAGCACTTTTGCTTTTGCAAGATGCCTCCACTCAACAAGCGCAAAAAACACGCACGGAACTTTAAACGAAAGGCTGACGGCACCTTCTACAAGCTCAAGCTAAACCAGAATCTACCGTCGTGCCCACCGAGTTCTGAAGGTGCTCTGGCTAGTTCTGCGACTAACCAGAGAAATACGGGTCTTTTCACCTCGACGCAAGCAAGACGCGGAAGGGGACAAGGAATGTACAACGTAGAGCGCCTATATGCAAAGCGCTGGGTGCACAATTTAGAGTTCTATTTAGTGCAGTGGGTCGGCTATCGATAACTAACCTGGGAACCTGCTAAAAACCTACCACCGAAGTTCAAAGTTGACTGAGTTTGAAACCATCGACTTTGTGTGGCTGTACCAACCTACAAGGGGGAGACGAAGGAAGAAGCTACCCATACGCCGCAGCGAACGCATAGCCACTAAATAGGTTAAGCTCGTAATTTACAATATAACATACTTAACGTATACTGAAAACAGTACTGCGATTTGTATTGTCATCTCCCTAAAAGTCAGTGCACTAGTGCTGGATTATGGAAAATTCCTCGAAAAGAAATCCTCCCTGGACCAGTGTATCCACTTGACATCGCGTTTGGACTCATATCCAAATCCTCACAATTTGTAGGAGTGAAAAGCGTGTAATTGTGAAGAATTCGTCGTTTTCAAAGAACAAGTCAATGCGTGGTAGCGAAATGTTCGCTTTGCAGAAGCCGGAGATGACTTGTGGAAGCTGGAGCAGTGCCGGGCGGCAAACATTACCAATGCAATCACTGCGAGGCTTCGGCGATACCAATGGTGCTGTGGAGGAGTACATATAGACCCAATCCGACCCCGAGAGGAATGTTGGCGTAAGGAAGAGCATCACTGTATGTAATCACTTGGAGTAATGATATTTATGTAAGAAATCCACTTTTCGGGCCGAAGCTTCTCCACGCATTGAGATAGAGGCTCCTTCCACACGTAATACTTCATAACACGAATGCCTTGGAGAGCCTCCAGTGTTACTTTGACTCGGTAACTTTAAGGAGCCTGCGCTGGACGTGGGTGTAACGATCTCCCTATTTTACGGAGATCAACAGCAACACAACCAATACCATTGCACCTGCCAGTGCTGAGTAAGCACCCAGAAGCACTCCAATCATCGCAATTGAAATGATGAAAGCTAATGGACCCATCACGTGCAGCATCGCGGTGAAGAACCCGTTCTGCATCAACACTCATGAGTGTCAGGACCTCACCGGCCTTGTACTGTTGTCTCGAAACACTGGATAGTTTTAGTGCCTTGCCGAAGACTAGAGTTATTGTATATGACTGAATACTGGCACCGATTCGAGAGGTAGTGGCGAAAACGTAATTGACAGCACAGAGTTGATGGTCACCATCACTACCAAGTAGTAACCGTTGGAGATCCCGAAAATATTCTCTTGGTCATTTAGAAATTGTAACAAAGCTTGAGCGACGTAGGACTGTATGACCAACGCCATACGTACATCACGGAACCAAAGAGCATGATGGTGAGTTCTTTTCGAAACGTTTTAGCGCCACGGGCGATCCCCAGATTGGTGGCGTGGGGTCGTATACTCGCCGGAACCGAGCTTCCAGCGCGTCGCACGAATCGTTCTACCCAATGGGCCACATGTCCTGGAGTTCGAGCGCACATTCTTCCCCAAGAGAGATCATCGGTGGGATTCAGCGAGTAAACACGATAGAAAAGAAGGACGCATTTTGCAGCGGGTTGATACGTCGACTCTGAACGGTTGATGTTTCTCATCATCCGAATTGATTGTAGACACACAACTTGGAGGCGAGGGCGGTGGTCAGATGCAGTTAACCGACATGGCCCACGTGACGATCGGCATGGCCAGCGGATCGCAAAATGAACCAGTTGATTGAAGTTACAGTACAATACTAATCGACGTTAAGTGTACCTTCTCATATTATTCATCAGTCGTGAGATGAGATGAACAAAGTGCAGGTTACAGACCAATGAAATTGGTTGATTATTGGCCGAAATCTTGTTTGTGCTTAGTTTTGTCTGCGTCAGCTCATGAAGCTGCCCCTCACGTCAATACATGTAAAACGCAACGCAAGGTGGACTCGTTTACCAATTTTATCACCAAGAGCAGATTTCCTATCACACCAGATAGGTTATCAGGCCTCTTATTGGCTACCACATGTTCTTGAATCAGTAGAACTTGTACATCATGTCAATCTGCGTGATGTACAAGCATTTGCGATACAAGTTGCTTTGGTACCGAAAGCCAAGTTTTCACTTCGCAACTTACCTGATATCTGTGTGATCTAAGGCCAAGACATCAACTATGGCTCAGCGTGTAGCACGTGCCACTCAAACCTGGCAACCCCAGAAGTACTTAAAGTTCCAGCGTCAGCGTCTGCGTCCGGCATTGGAGCTGCTCTTGCGGGTGCCGGAACTTCCCACTACCGATGGCGACGCAGTGGAGATCGTCGACCTCGGCGCTGGGACGGGTAACATGGCTCCTTCCTTCCTGTACGAATGCCCTTTACGACACCCCAAACTTGTAGAATAATAACACTGACGTGATAGTATCTTACAGAAAACGCTGGCCCAAGGCGCACGTGACGTTCGTGGACTCGTCGGCTTCCATGCTGAATGTCGCTCAACAGGAACACGATGAGAACGAGACTCTCGACACGCAGCGATTCTCCTACGTTCAGGCCGATTTCGAGACGTATGCGCCCGAACGACCCGTGGACTTGATTTTCTCGAACGCAGCACTGCAGTGGGTGAACGCCGAAAAGCACAAGGAGATCCTTCCCCGCCTTTATTCCTTCCTGAAGCCTGGTGGTGTACTGGCCTTTCAAATCCCGGACACTCGCCTTCAGCCGAGCCACCAGCGTATGGTCGACGCGGCGGCAAAGTTGGGACTAAGTGACCGTGTGGCTGGCGTTCGATGGGTAACGTGCGAGAAAGACCCAGATTTCTACTACGAGCTGTTCAAGGCTGTCGACAATGGCGCGGAACTCGATATGTGGGCGGCTGTGTATGCGCAGGTCCTGGAGGGAGACAACCCTGTTGCCGACTTCACCGGCTCGACAGCTCTTCGGCCGTACATGGAAGCTCTGGGTGAACCTTCCGAGAACGCAACCAAGTTCGAACAAACGTACCGCGAGATGATCGCAGCCGCATATCCAAAACAGAGCGATGGTAACACTATCTTCAACCTCAAACGGTTTTTTGTCATGGTTACTAAGCCAGAGTAGACTGGCGACTCACAGGCGTACCCCGTCTAGCAAATTTAAAGCCGAATACACTTGTATCTTGCTCCATTCAGTCGCCATTGATGAGTGGATGTTTATCGCCAAATGTATGCAATCACTGATTACGGATGGACTAATTCTAAAGTCATGTTAGGTGTGTGGAGATTGAATGCTTGGTACTGCAGTATTAGTATTCTAGTCTGGATGTGGACTCTATAACGTGCATCAAACGATAACCTGAGGGTGGCACGACCACGCGTTGTTTCATACAGTCGTGATAGTTTGTCCATGGCGTGCTTCACCTGACGGCTTTGCAATTTTTAATCTCCACCAGGGCTCGCCTCGTCACTTCCCTTTTTGCATTGCATACTCGGACGACCACTGGGCGAGACAATGAGCTTACAACTTCTTCATAACGAGAAAAGCGACCGCGATGGGTCTTTCGTGAGTATCACGACACCTAAGAGTGGCCAGGAATTTGATCGTGCTGATGAACCAACGCCACAAACAAAAGAAGAAGCCAAGATTTTGGTTAAGCTCGTTGGACCCGTGGTTAGTACTTCTGTATCAATACCAAGTATAACAGCTTCTCACGCCCCGCTCTGTTAGATGATCACTACGTTTCTTGAGTTTCTCCCGGGCTTTACGTCAATCATTCTTGCTGGAAACATGGACTCGCCACACTCTCAACACTACATTGATGCTGCAACATTTTCTACCATGGTATGATAACTACTTAGACTGCAGATAACAGTTGTTTCATGCGCACTGATGATGCTATCTTATTACATACAGGCGCTGAACATGACCTCGCTCTCCGTCGGGCTCGGACTCGCATCAGCACTAGACACGCTCTGTTCGCAAGCCTATGGGGCCAAACGATACGAGAAGATCGGCATCTACTTCCAGACTGGAGTCATCGTACTCACCGTCTTTATCAAGAAGACAGGAACTTGGGGGGCGCCAAAGTGAAAGTGCCGCCCCCGCAGTTCAGACGGATGAAAGCTTCTAGAAGCTTCCACAGCCGTCCTACATCTGCATGTGTATTAATTACTATACTATACATTTCATAGT